ATATATATATATACACACACACACACACACACACACACACATATGGGTTGTGTGAGTGGATTAGGTTTATATTACATTTATGTAATAAAAACCTCTTATTTTGACTTTGTGGGGACCTTTTGCCAAAAGACTTGCATTTTGTTGGTTACTTGTGGTTCAGGTTAGGGCTGGGTAGGGGTTAAGGTTGTCATTGTTGGGATTAGGGCTTAGCCCATAGAAATGAACTTGTGCGTGTCTGTGTGTGTGTATACGGTAGCCATTCCAGTACAGTTAAATAGGGGGAATACACAGCAGAGTGCACATCAAGCATCTTGTGAATGTAAACAATCACACACAGCATAAAGTGAGAGAGAGAAAGAAAGAGAGAGAGAGAGAGAGAGAGAGAGAGAGAGAGAACGAGGCATGGGGACATGTCAGTGTGACTGGGGAGTGTTTAGATCGCAATATTAGCCCAGGAACAGGAAGGTGTGGAGCTGCACTGCAGCCAGGCGGGCAGTGAGGAGAAGGGGGTAGGGCAGGCAGCCCAGGGCCTCCTGCCAGCCATGGGGCTGTGCCACGGCCCAGTGTGCGATTTGCTTTATTGTAAGCAGAACCTTGTCAAATATGCTGTGCAGCTCAACTACAGCAGCCTGAGGGATCACTCTCACAGATATTTGCCATAGTACATATTTAAACATGCCCATTTTTGTGTATGACTGCTGATTCTAATGTGATGTGGGAGACCTTCCACGACCCTGAAGGGTAGGTTGCTGAGGGTAGAGTTGGTGTTGCGGGTATGCCCAAAAGGAGGCGTTTAGTCTCGCAGGGCACCTTGGATATTACTGAGAGGAGTCACAGCGCACGGCTTGATGGCAACTCCGGTCTGCACCGGGAACTGAAAAGGACGCCTGCGAGGGCACTGGGGGCAGATAAGGAGGCGTTTGTTAGGGGGATCTGTGAGCGAGTGACACTGTCTATGGTCTAATGACCTGCGTCCTGCTTACAGAGGAATTGAAGCAGTTGTGACCCACTTTGGTTATTGTTATTGGTTTGGTTATTGGTTATTGTTTGGTTATTTGGTTATTTTGGTTATTTGGTTATTAAACAGGTTATTGTGACCCAGAGACTTTGAGCAGCTTTGTAAAGCTGATCCTCAGGCTAGGACGTTGAACATCTCTGGGTCCAAGGTTCTTGAGGCAGATCCTCTGAGATATCTAAGAGTCAAATCCCTTGCCAGGGCTGCCAACTCTCACGCATCTGGTGTGACACTCACGCTTTCGGACTCTCACGCTCGTGCAAGAAATCTTACGGCAAATTTATATTATTACATTATAAACCTAAAATTAGCTGAAGCAAAAGCGTTGGGGTAGTTTGCAAAACCTACAGACCATTTACAAGGGAATAAAACTGTCACAAAGGTGTAAATGCGTGTGCGGACTTGTCTGAAATCGAAAATCTCACGGCAACCGGCTGACCAAAGTTGACAGCCCTGCCTTGCACTAGGAGGAATTGGACCTCTGGACAAAAGCGTGTGCTAAATAAATAAACATATAGGTAGTCCATCCATTTTCTATAATTCATGAGAACTGGCGCCATCTCGTGCTACACAGAAGTTACTAACCAGGTTATTAATAATGGAGTCCATATACGTTGCGTGTTTTTTTCTTTTCTCTACACGGCTACGTTACTAGAACTATTACCTGTTTGCGATTTAAATTTTAAGACAAACTTTGGAAGCTCCATACTTAATAAACGTATCTTTTTTTAAATTTTGCAAACGAAAAATTCTGACTATAGTGACATACATACTTTCGGTTTAATGATCATCTAATTCGGGTGACCGTGATGCTGTTCATTAAACTGGGAAGAATGTTTGGCAGTGATCCATTGAAATAAACATGCTCACAGTCACGCACCAATGACAAAACTGAGTTACCAAAACAAGCAAACATCACTATTTGTGGGAATAAAGTACCCGAGGCATCCATGTGAGCAGAATAAAATCCACAAAATCAGCACAGACCAATCCAAAAACAGTTGGCCGTAAATGATGTTTAATTGTAGGCCTAATTATTACTATTTTGCGAAAAACGATTTATTATATTGCTATAAGCAAGTGCTGCTCTCTGGAAAAATTGTGCATATAATTAAAATTGGCATATTTTTGTTATATTTCACATAATAACATAGCTTACGTATAAAAAAATAGGGACAGTCTAACTACGTCTATGCAAAGCCTGCAACCCGGAAGTAACCATTCCTACAAATAATGCATAAAAATGAAACCAAGCCTAGGAATATTACTTATTTCACACAGAAAGCGTCATGGAGAAACTATAAGTGTGATAAGGGGAAATCCCGGTGAAAAAAACCGAACTGGTGACATCACCGTCAGCTGGTCCCGCAGGAGACCCGGAAAGGCTCACAGGAAACGCAATGCTCGGCTTATATCTCTGTATGTTAAACTGAATATCTCATTCTGTTTTCCAACTAGTCTGCTATAAAGAAGTGCGTCACTGCCCGTAAGTACATTCCGCCGATCTCCCAGGGTGCACTGTGGTGCTGCAGTAGCAGTGGAAAGTTGTACAGCAGTGATCTGCTTTCTGTCGCGCGGAGGTGATGACGCCGATCCAGCGAATGAATGTCATGTAGCTCGCTTGGTTCGCAATTCGCCCCTAAACGTTACTTTAAGCGGTAAGTTAGTTAGTGTATGTTGGATTCTCTTATGTGGTATTTATTATTTTATTCATCGCTTATGAGTGCAGATCTGGGGTTTCAGATTAGGCCTCTGAGACGATTATCCAACCAATGTTTATTCCACCAGCGTGTTATACGAGAGGGATTTCTGAAATATTTAATTTGTCTGGAATCTTTGATCTATTTGATTCCTGTTTGATTTGACACGTCTCAAATTGTCTATTGGATACTCACAGTATTTTTTTACAGTCAAACTGTCATTTTAATCCCTTTATTCTGTAGACTTTTATATTGTGTAAAAACTGTTGTTTTCCTGTGTTCAGCTTGAGGAAGGGAGGTCCTTCTGCGATTCCCGAACTCTACTGCTGATCCATGGCCTCCAGCATTCCAGTGGTGAATGGGGACATATCCCAGGGTCCTCATCAGGTGCCTGGGGGGGAGGCTTCTCCACCCATGGGATCCCTGGAAGAGACCCTTCTGCAGATGACTGTCCTGATCAAGGAAAATCGTGACTTGAAGGGTCAGTGGCTGATTGAAATTTTTCTCTTTATTACATAATTTTATATATAAATTGACACGCATGATGATAAACAATCACACAGCTTTTATAATTATATATACTTGCTAATATATTATATATTCATTTAGTCTATATTAAAAACAAGCTGTCAAAACATGCTTTACTGAGCACAGGAAGCAGGTTTTCTAATGCAATGTGAATAAAATAGAATATTATTTTTCTGGGGGGAGGTACTTCAGGAAGGGGGCAGGCAGATACTGCACTATTGTGCATCAGAGTGTTACATTATCGCTGTCATTCGCTGTATATCTGGGTATATACAATGGAATTTGTGTTCAGGACCATATATGCCAAAACTGGAGGCAGAGCAGTGAGCTAAAACATGTTTCTTCATGGTGTGTGCGGGAGATTTTGAGACAGAATAGGATTTTTCATGAAAAGCCCCATAGCAGTAATATACTGTGAGCATCCCTGTGGTAGGATTGGGTAACTGTACCCTGGGCAATAGACGAAGAAGTACTGCGTATCACAGGGCACACTAATGCAAATAAGAAAATACAGTAAAACCTTGGATTGCGAGTAACTTGGCCTGCGAGTGTTTTGCAAGACGAGCAAAATTTTAAAATATATTTTAACTTGATAAACGAGCAAGGTCTTGCAATATGAGTATTACGTATATGCTTTGTCTGTCGAGCGTCACATGATCACAACTGAGCTGATGGTACTTCTCTCTCTCTCACGCTGCGGGATTGTGGGTAATTGTCTCCCATGCTCCGTCTCAGTCAGCGTCCCTCACTCGTGTAGTCAAAATTTAGTAGAAAAGCACCACCCGAATAAGGGTGTAGCAGTGCCAGCGATTAATCTGCTTAACGACAATGCAATGTCACATTTCCAGAGGAATCGAAAAGGAGGCAAAAGTGGCTGTCATTGGATAGGTTCCTTGTTAAAGTCGCACAAAAAGAAAAAGATTCCAGTGAGCCAACAGTTAGCAGTGATTCCGTTATTTAAAGTGAAAGTCGTCCCACAAAATAACCTTCCTCTTCTCCTCTCTCTCGTCTCCCTCACACCATCCACGATTATTTTCAAAGGTAAAGTGCAGGTTAATTTGTTTTATGTATTTTTACTTTATATTTTGTATTAATCATTATCAATATATGAATATTTTTGGGTTGTGGAATGAATCATCTGAGTTTCCATTATTTCTAATCGGAAAATTCGCTTTGATATATGAGTGCTTTGGATTACGAGCACGTTCCTGCAAACGAATTATGCTCGCAATCCGAGGTACCGCTGTAGTAGCCATTTTGATGTGAAGACAAAATGAAAACTCAGGCAGGGAATTGGGTATAATGGTCTAGCCCTGTAGAGGAGGTTACTAATAAATCTTGGGAACCCTATGTGATGGTGACCCCCTCCCCCCATATATAATATATATATTTAAAATGCATAATAAAAAATTCTCCCAGTATATGTATTATACGTGTGTGTGTGTATGATTGACAACAAAAATAAAAATGCTGTCGTATATATCACATAATAAATTATGCATGAAAGTGTCTGTGGAAATGTAAAGCGACCTCCTGTACTTTTATCTCAGGATGCTGGATTTGTCATTAAAAATTAAATTGTTATGACTGTGAACAATGCAGGTATCTGTCAAAGCACTATAAATAAATATATACACACACACACACACACACTCCTATCAGTTATTACAAATATGAATTTCAGGTGCAGCACACAACTGAACGTTTATATGGGGCTGGATCGTGGCTCTGCAAATTATGAGCCGCAGTCTCTGTTCACCTCGTACGAGAAAGATGGGAACTAAGATATGGAAGCTATAGGCACAAGGTTGGGAATAACCCATTACAGGCCTATTTGCACCTGTGGACAATTTGGCAACTGAACATGGTTTTGGAGTGTGGGGGGAAGCTGGACAACACCTCACGATGACACGAGGAGAGCATGCAAACCTCACACACATGGAAGCAGGGCAGAGAGTCAAACCCTGGTCTCCAGATGTGTGAGACAGCTGTGCTAACCACGGTCTTTGCCTGTACCATATCTCACAACTTCCTTTGTCGTTGCAGAGGCTCTGAAGCAAACTAACTACACAATGAAGGAGCGATTTGAGGGACTGTCAGCGTGGAAGGAGAAACAGAAGGAAGAGAAGAACTTTCTGGAGGGTAAACTAGAGGAGGCCAAGGAGCACGTTATAACTTTGACCAGCCAGAATGAGGAGCTGAAGAGCAGGCTGCAGATCCTGGAGGAGAAAACAGAAGGAGGGCCTGGTTGGGTGAGACACTCTTGCTATTACCCACATTCTTCATTCTGTAGTCTTGGAAGTGAGCGCTATGAGTTGTATTTATGTACATTCTGGTCAAACTGTAGCATAGTCAGCATTATAATGCAGTGTGGGCCTTAGAACAAGCTTTGTGTTGACTGTGGTTTGTTGCAATGAGCATATTGCATAGTGTGGACCAATCTTCTTAACTAAGAGACACTCGAGAGTTTGACTGAAGCTTTGATAAGCGATGGTTGATGTCGGCTTGTTTGCGGCTCCCAGGGTGAGGTGGTCAGCAAGAGCTCCGAAGTGGAGGCCTTGAAGGGACAGATTAGCAGGCTACAGGCGGAGAAGAATGACCTGGTGGCCATGAACTCAGAGCTGCAGCTGAAGATGGGCCAAGGATGCCATGAGGACTCCTTCATTGAGATCAGGATTGCGGTGAGTCACAGGCACAGTATTCGCTCACACTTCTGTTGGTGTTACTCTGTTTGCCACACTTGTGCATCTGTTTGGAAAAACTGTGTGCCACATAAATGTAATGTAAAGACAATGTACAATAACTGCCATTCTAGGTTCTGAGTAATTGCTATAACATCCAAACACATTTGTTCCCTGACATTTGTTCGATAGTTGTGCATCATTTATATTACATTTGCTTAGCTCTTTTAATGGGCTGCAGTAATATGTAGAGGGAGGTTGACATGAAAGCGTTTTGGTTAAGAATCAAGCAGTACTTGGGCCAACCCCGTCCATTAGAAACTGGACTGAATTTGGCCCTTACCATAAGAGTGAAAAGCCTTATCATTGAAATGCAAAACTTTCATGATAGTGACTTCCCTAGAGTGGCTATTGTCCTGTAACAATTTCCAAGTATAATAATGTCCAGGAATTTCCAAAATAAAACCCAGGCACTTACACAGATCTGCATAATGTACAGTTTGAGTAATTCCTCCACTAGAATGATCCGTGGGCTGAATCGGATTTGAAACTTTTTGGACAACATGGTTGAACATGGCTGTCATGATTAAAGGAATCATCACTTTCGCTTTTTATAGGAAAGGCTTAGGGCATCCACTTGTAAGCTGAAGACAAAGCTAGCAAGATATTGAGCCGAAACGCATTAGCGTGGAAAAGATTTTGTTTGTGGGGGTGGGTCCACATTGTTCCACAGCACTGAAGACTTTGACCAGAAACCACTGAAAGCCCTTGGCTACAGTCAGGTCAGATAAAGGAGGCGTAACCAGCATGAGTCAGAGATAAATTACATAATACCTTCATTTGGAAAAGTGTTGTCTAACTTCCTTAACCATTAGTTCTTAACATAACTTTTTACTTCTTAAGTCATACACTTGATCACTGAAGTACTTCTAATTAAAAATTAATTTTTTGGTTGAAGATCTATGAAAAAATTAAAATGGACTAATACAAACAAATCACTAAAGTAGAACTTAAAGTGGAATATTTTATTATATTGTTAAATTCTTTTCCCCACTCATCAATGCCTAGCCTTTTATAAAACACACTTTTAGGCATATAGACTATCACAATGCAGTTTCAGTTACTATGATAATAATGTTATGTCATTTTTGTTGTGCATGTTCTTAGTTTCTTTTTTAAAATGTGCATCTTTCTGTGAAATGTGAGGTTGGTCTGTGGAGGTGAGGTCTGTGTGTAAATGGAGGTTGGTCTGGGGAGGTGAGGTCTGTGTGTAAATGGAGGTTGGTCTGGGGAGGTGAGGTCTGTGTGTAAATGGAGGAGATAGATGAAAATAGCCCAGTATTAGTATTACATTATATGTTTGTGTTACATTATGAGTTACTACACACCCATTCCTGATTTATTTTTACAGTAAATCACTTTTCTTACAAATAAAGATCTGTTAGGTACGTTGACCAAACATTAGCAGTATTAAAGCTTAAATTTGGGACTCTTGCGTTTCATATTCAGAGTAACTCCACATTAATGTGTCATTACCCGGTTTCAGCAGAAAGGAGAAGTTGATGTGGCAACAGGCCTTCCAGGTGCCCAGAAAGACCCAGCCGGACCCAGCTCGTAAGCACCTGAAATCTGTGCCTGGCAGGCAGGAGGAGGCGCTGAGGCGTGTGCACGCTGCTGAAAGCCACTTCCCCACACAGGCCCCAGTTTGACATGACGGCGTCCCGCCTGGAGTCCGAGGAGATCACAGTCAGGCAGCTACTGCAGTCCCTGAGAAAAGAGACCCAGAAGGTGGAGAGGCTGGAGCTGGAGCTCCAGGTGATGAAGGAGAGGTAGGAACAACGCCTGTCTGCTCCCTTGAGAGTGGATGGGTGGATGGAAGGAAGGAAGGAAGGAAGGATGATGATGGATGGAAGGAAAGTTGGATGGATGGATGATGGATGGAGCAATAAAGGCACACACAGTGCACAGGACAAACAAACAAAAACTCAAGACAACATGCAAAGACAACATACATATTACAAACTATATTGTGCGAGAACAAAGAGAGAAACACATAGTTAAGGGGAGATATACGTATGATAAACATGCTACGTGTATGTGGTCATACATGGTTATGTCCACTGCTGTCTCTGTTTTAAAATGAAATGGTGTGCAGACGTGTTCCGGCTGGGGGTGGGAGGTGGGGGCTGGGGCTGGGAGGTGGGGGCTGGGGGTGGGGGCTGGGGGCTGACACGTCATGGCATTGCAGGGCCTGATGGCAGCGGGTAGAAAGGAGTGGGTGTGGTGCTTCAGGGCACATGGAGGGCTGATGAGTTGTGTGGGGAACGACGGGCTGAACGGACCTTTACCTGTAGGGGGAGCTGGAGCGCGGTGATCCCTGGGGATAATGCTTTTTAGAATGACCGATTATTTTTCAAAATATGCTGTGTGTTTACATAAAGAGGGGACTTTTACTAGAGTAATTAGGTCAGCCGCTTAAAGCAAAATAATGTCCTGTTTTGTTAGGGCTTGATGGATTTGTCTGGTTTATGAAAACAAATAGAAGTTCAAATGAAGGTATGTTAAGCTGTGGAAACACAGAACTTATTTAGATATTTACTTGTAACCTCTACTACCTAGAACGTCACCTGCGGAGCTTGTGAGGATGCGGACTAGCCAGACTCTTAGTGGGCCTGGGAGAGCTCTGTACATGTTTATTTAAGGTGTAAGACTTTTATTTGTCACAAACATGAATGTAGTGGTACAGCAGAAGAGAACTGAAATTGCAGCTACTTCAAGGTATAAGGATAACAAAATTAAATACTATTTTAAAAATGAGTGCTAAAAATGTAGAAACATGTACAAGTAAAGATACAAAATAATAAATAAATAGGAGAAAATAAATGCAGGTTGCAGTTGTAGCTCACTTTACTTGGTGGTGTTAATCATCCTAATGTCCTGGGGACAGAAGCTTCTCCTCAGCCTCTCAGTCCCGGCCATAAGGCTCCGGAGGTGCCTGCCTAAGCACAGCCACTGCAGCGATTAATAGCACGGCTGCTGAGTGTCTTTGGTAATGCTTGATGCCCTGGACCTACATCCCTGGATGTAGGTGTCCTGTAGGGCAGGCAGTTTTGTCCTGGTGATTCTCTCTGTGCACCGTATCACCCACTGCAGGGCTCTGTGGTCCTCGGAGCCGCAGCCGCCACACCAGACAGTGATGCTCCCAGAAAGCACTGATCCCACAGTAGTTCTGTTGAAGGTTTTCTGAAGCACACACGAGTTCTTTCATTTCCACGGCTGCCTCAGATAATGCATCCGCTGCTTAGCATTGCCTACAGTGACACTGTGAAGCCCACAAAAGCGAATTCCCTAAACCGACACTGGCTGGAATAGCACGAATGTGGAAAGGTGTTAATGGAGACACTTGCATACAAAGTGTTGTGTGTAAAATTCTTTAAATCAGACTGTCAGAGCCACCCATGCCAGCAGGAAGGAATGCCGAAAGTCAGACGTCCTTAGTGATGGAGGAGATGAATCCATTGACAGGAGAACCTCTGCGTGAAAATGACGTACTAAACCAGCAGCGGCCTCCTGATGATAAGGAACAGGTACGTCTGGCTTGTCACTGGTCAATAGATTGATAAACTTTATTATTAAAGGTGACCTTATGTGAACATTTTGGTTTTTATGGTCAGAATAGGATAGGACAGGATAGGATGTTATTTATTGATACCCCAAGGGTGAAATTCCTGACCGAAGCTAATGGGACTGATTAATTTGTCATCAGTAGCATGTAGTAGGTATTATGTCATGTACAAATAGTAGGACAACAATGTTAAATTAATAACTCGGTGAAAAACTCAAATATTATCAAGTGATTGAACTGGGCCTAACTTCTCTCTCTTTGTACCTTTTAGGCCACCAATGAGGTGGAAAGTCTGAAGGGGCAGATGATGACACTGTTTAAGGACCTGCAGCAAGCACAGGGCAAATTAGATAGTGCTGAGGACATGAAGAAGAACCTGCAGGACAGGTACAGGAGCGGAGGTGGCACCAGGCAGGGCCCACAGGGAGAAATTAGTTACATAAAAGTCATTAAGTAAAAGGTGATTGAATCCAGTGTTTCCCAATCCGGTTCTAGCAGATCCCCAGACAGTCCACGTTTTTGCTCTCTGATATGGAGCTGGGAGGGTGCAAAAATGTGAACTGTCTGGCAGGGAGATGGGAGGGAGCAAAAATGTGGACTGGATGGGGGTCCCTGAGGACCAAGTTGGGAAACACTGTTTTCATCCATCCTTCCTAGATGTTTATCCAGTGAGTCATGCTGAGTTTTGAGTTTATCCTCCAGACGTAGAGGTGTGAGACTGCAGTGCTACCCACTGAGTCACTTCATGCAGGTACAGGGACGTGGAGCAGGACCGGGCCATGCTGAGGGCCCAGCTGGTGGAGAAGCACCAGGTTCAGGAGGAGAATGAGAGGCTGAAATTGCAGCTGGAGAGCACGCAGTCCCTTGTCAAGTTGGAACAAAAGAAGGCAGAAGATGAGAGGTAACTGGTCATTCAGTCTTGCATAATGGACATTTATGTGTTTTTAGTCATCTATGGAAGATCATGACCAAAAACCCCAATAAGTTGAGAGGTGGATGATCCATCAGTCTTACATAATGGGGTGTTTTCCGTCATGTGTGGAAGATCATGACCAAAAGGTCTGATTATGAAACACACAGTGCTTCTAATGGGGCAGCTTCATACTTTCCTTTGTAGCCCAGGGCTATGGGTCACACATTGTCCCCTGTCTAAAAGCTACTCCAGTTGACTCACTGACTTTCATTGGACCATCAGACTGTTCATGGTTTACCCTTCCTTGCGTACTCAGTTACATTGACCATTTTTATTTATTTATTTTTTAATTGAACTGTATCTCATTTAAATGTCCCCTACACTACCATAAATGAGAATTGGCTACATGAATTCTGTAGGGATTGATGCTGTTTGCCACTGCAAATCCATGCTGTTGGGGAGGTTCTGCCAAGTGTTTCCCAGGCCCACACAGGGATCGTCCCATGTGGAAACGCCTCTCTCCAAATGGCTTTCCACACATCTCTAAATTATCCTGTTGACCAAAAGGAGACTTATCTCTTTGCAGGAAGAACCTAGCTCAGTTAAAAGAGGCCTACACCAAGCTTTTTGAAGACTACAATGAGATGAAGGAAGAGAGGAAGAAAAAGCAGGTAATGCTTTCCTGTCCTCCAGCTAACTAGCTGTCTTTAGATGGGAAAGTTTGTTTTGTTTTTATTTAAATACAGTTGAGAGGCACTGTGTCTGGATACTGTATGGTATAATTAAGGTATTTCACCCTTAACCCCACCTCCAAAATACTCCAGGGACACCGGATAGGGCTGGTTATGGATTTACTTAATTTATTATTTTGTCCAGAGTGACGTACAAGTGAGTAAAGTTTGGGGTTAGAGGGAGGAGTCTGACAGTGTTTTTGGAGCAGTTGGGATTAAGAACCTTTATAGATATATGATTACTTTGCCTGCTGTGGGATTTGTACCCATGAACATCTGGACAGAGGCAGAGATCCCTAATGCGCTTGTCGCCCTGTAAGGGTGGAGTCCTTCCGTTGCTCTTGACTATGGTGTGGGCATATGTGCTAAGCAGTACCATGTGTGTGTTCTGCACCGTCACTGCAGCCCCTCACCACGGAGGAAGTGTGTGAGCTCCAGGCCAGGCTGTCCGCTGCAGAGCAGGCCCTGGCCGCGAAGCAGCAACAGATTGATGAGATGAAGCAGGATCTCTTCAAGAAGGAGAAGGAGCTTGACACCATATCTGTGTTCCAGGCACAGGTAATCTCCAAGCACAGTCACCTGGGAGCCGGCCTTGAATCGAGCTAATTTCTTGTGTCTTGGGTCTGGATTGTAGTAGATGCAGAACATTTTCCAGAATGTAAAGGAGGTATAGGCGAAGTTCAAAGTGAGGGCACCTGGTGACCTGTCCTCCTGGCTTTTGAAGGCCGAGGTGTACTCCTCAGACTTCTATGCAGAGAGAGCAGCCCGAGAGAAGATCCACGAAGAAAAGGAGCGCCTGGCTACGCAGCTGGAGTTCCTGATGAAGCAGAACAGTCAGCTTCAGGAGGAGGTGGAGTCCCTAGGCAGGTACAGCCAATCATCTGCCAGAGCCACACAAATCATGTGATCTTGACGAGGCCCTTTTTAAGGAATAAGGTTTCTTCAACAGAGACTAATGGGGCAGTAAACTATAGAAGATTTCAATGTTTGGTGATTTTCAGGAGCATTGTGGTCCAGTGGTTTGTCCCTTGGTACCAGGCAGTGTTCCAGCTACTCTGTTTGTTTATTATTCCAGGCAGTCCCTGAATGCGATGCAGCGGCGACATGTGTCACGGGGGGCCAGCCCACATGGGGGCGCTCTACACAACCAGCAGGGGCCCAGAGGTATGATCCTGTGTGGACCCATCAATAAGATAAAGACGCTGTACTTAGCCAGGATGGCCCTATGGTTGGCACGGAGGCTCAGTGGGTCCCACTGAAGGCACATTCATGCTTCGCGTCTCCACATGCACTTTTGGTCACTCATGGGGAGAAGCAATATAAATTTTGTAATAACAGGTTTGTAGCAGACAGCTGCAGTTGGTGCACGTGTAGCCATGCATGTCTGTATGCATCAACGGCGCACGTACAAGATAATTATTTTGGTATTTCCAGTAGGTGGCAGCACTGACTTTCACAGATCATCAGTCAACGACAAAAGTGTAGAGGAAGAATATGTGTTGTTGTAGTGATGGTGAGCAGTTGTACGAGGAGGGTCGGATGTAGCCGCATATCTAATTTTTCATACCGCCCAGACATTATACCAAGATATATGGTATTTTAAAAGCAGCACTATTCTGGCTTTTTAAAATCTTGGTAATGAAATTCATCGAGCAGGGGCTAAGGAATTTCAAAATACCGTGGTATGCTGTATAACTTCATTACTGCCAAAGCCTAGACCAACAACTTTAAAAACTGTTCATAAAAAGTTTACCCATTTCATTACACTTGGCAGCTTGTATTTGATTGTTGCAATACATCTGCCCTCTCTTGGTCAAAAACACAAGGTTCCACGTGCATGACCATATTCAGCCCGAAAATGGATGCAGAAAAGTGAAGTATGCTCAAGGCATTAGGGGTAGTGCAATCCCTTGCATTATTTATTCTACGTGGTTCATAGGCGTGGTTCAGTGGAGCAGTGGTGAACGAGCCCTGGGGTGAAGCAGACCTTGCCTTGTTGTCCTCAGGTGCCGAGGGCAGAGACTGGCAGCAGCAGGTGAACATCCCAGAGCACGCCTGTCCCAAGTGTAACGAGATCCTCCCCGACCTCGACACCCTGCAGATCCACATCATGGACTGCATCATCTGAGCGCCTGCCCGCTTGTGCTTCCCTCCACTGATAACTTTAAGCACTTAACATATAAGTACAGTAGCTGAAGTAATATATACTGCCCAAATGAAGCAGCGTGTTGCCAGAATATTTGTGTGGGTCACATATTGTGTACAGGCTAGTTGGTGGGATTCCATCCATCAAACCAGAGGAGTGTTTGTGTAAGAGCACCATTACTGTCTATGTCAGGCATACGGGACACAGCATTACATCGAAAGTGTAGTCGTTTGGTCCCACAGCCCAAAGGTATAACTGTCTTGCACCTGTATTCCTGTATCACATGATTTTATACTTATAATTTGTTAGCTATATATGTAGATTCTTCTTTTATAACAGGGAAAATAACCTGCAAATTCCTTAGAATGCAGGACACACTTGCCCTGATAAAATAATTCAAGGTATTTAAGCACAAAATAAAATTTAAAGAACCTAATAGAATATAGTCAAGACAATGGTTGGATTTGGGAATTTATTTCCCCCCCCCCTTTCAGTTTTTATTTAGAAACACATAAAAATGTCATTTGTAATGAAAATGTTTTTCTTTCCTCTGCAAGGACAGGCCTTTGGAAGTTCTGAGTTGCTAGTTGTCTGTTGGAATTAATAAATCACTGTGTGCGAGTGCCTTGTGACGGATAGCTGTCCCATTTGCTGTTAATTATGCTACTTTGCACCTTAATGTTCCCAGTGTTCCAGTAAAGGGGCAACATATTACTGTACTGTGAATCAACCATAAATTTGCCCTCAGCTTGCTGAATGGTGTAGGGAATACATGCCTTTTCCCCATCACCTCCAGACAAATGATATGCTGTAACCAAGGACTATACTCACTGCATGCCCAACAACCACCCTCAGCTGTGACAGCATTTCTGATAGTGTAGTTTGCAGTGCGGCTCATTGCTCAGCCTTGAACTACTAAAACGACTTTTTTGTTTTAATTCTTAGTCAAACCAATACTGATTTACCTTAACAAAGGCATAGGTGTTCAAAAGACTATATACAATGTAATTTAAAAATGTAAATTCTGTTCATTTCGATTTTTAAAGCCGCTTCAACTAATTTTGATTTGAGAAATTACTGGGACAAACTAGAAATAGAGGTTATTTCATTGTAACTTGCATATTGCTTGAACAACAATAAAACAAACGACTTCACTGTTGCTGCAGTGTATTTACACTTGTAATAGTGCCTTCCATTTCTTGTTGCACTCGGATAAGACTCATTCTGGCCAGAAAAGCGAACACAGCTGTGTGACAGGTATGAGAGGAAGAACCTGGGGTGAAAGTCGATAGAATTGGGGTAGCGGCGGGCATCGGTAAGACAGGACTAGACAGAGATGAGGTGGGGTGGTAGTGGACGTTCAGCCGAAGCACGGGTTAAATTGAGGGGACATCAGCTAACAGCAGGGCTATAATCATGCTGAGTCAAGCAAAGCATGTTTTTCGGAGAAAAGGTGAGAAGAAAACAAGTCTTCTCGTCTGTAATACTAATAGATGGGCGGTATCCCACCCATTAGCTAAATATTTAGCAAGTTTACGAGATTTTCGATACATCTTCATTCTATCTTCATGTCACATAACATATATGAATCCTGCTTAAAAACTCATTTGATCCTCCTTCGCCCAGGCCCGTAGCCATAAATTTATTTAAAAGTAAGTCCATCAAAATATTGCTCGAATACATACTTAGTCGGGAGCAACTAAGAGCAAAGCACTCTCTTGATGTTTCCGTCGAATTTGGTTACTGCGAAAGTGAAGATCACTCATACACATACATGTAAATAAATCACTTTAAATTAGCCCCATTACACTTATGTAGAGAACTCTGCCAACTGCATCAGCATGTAAAGTCGCCCTACAGAACAGGACCTAACTGAAGCTGTTCACGATGTGCCTGTCCGAAATAATCTTACAAGTAAATACAGATTTACGTGAAATGCTTGGAAAACATTTACAAAAACATATTTGCAAAGGCTATTAATAATTTTGAACGATTTGTTTTGCGATTTTGAATGTTTTAAAATAAATAAATTATTCAGGATCTCGGACAGACACCTACATACGCAAGCCGAAGCGATAGGACTTGAATTTTGGCGCTAGTAGCAGGAGAAAGCAAGAGTAGCAGGACGGGGACAATAAACAAGGTGATCGTATTAACGTTAATAACAAGTCATGTGTATGCGTAAGTAAAAAGTAATATATAATTTGATTTGCTATTAAACGGAATTTTATATGCACACTGTAGTCTGTAGTTGTAAGTACTTGTTGATCTTATAGGCAGAGTATGTCTGCGTTAGCCGTTAATCTGTATTGTAATTGTTTTGTATTTGTGTTTTTTGTAGTTTGCTGCTTATCTGGAATTCTTGTTCGATACTAAGAAATGGAAGGTATGCTGTCGTCCTGCTTTAAAGATGTTGTAGCTGTATTTTCGTGTTTTGCATTGACATTGACATTTAACATTTTCCGGTTATACCTTAATCAGATATGTCGATGGTCATTTCTTCAGCTGAAAAATATTTAAACGCAGAGGCTCTTACCTTAAATTTTATATCAGGACATTTTCTTGCTATAAAATTGGACAAGAAGAAGTAAGAGATAACTACTGAAGTTGTCCCCCCTCCTCTGATCTGATTAATAGATGGCCACTAGGGATGTATCAGTACTGTAATTAATTATTACGTCGCTATTGTCGCGATTCACTGCATTACAGTTTTAACACCACCAGAATTTTATTTCGCATTTTTCAGCATTGGCTGATTAAAATGTACCGATGTAGCCTATGCTAAATATACTGCAGTGGAAGTGGCGCAAATGTATGCTGATTTAGCGAAAGTGGTTTACTTTTTAAATTCTTCTATTTATGTATGTATGTATGTATGTATGTTATTTTTGTTTAATATGTACAGTTACACAAAATCTGATTAGTTTGTATTTGTTAACTTGCTATTAGGACACGGCATCAGAGTTTAATAGAAAATTCACACAACACAGACAACCCGGTTACATGCACTATGCGTATAGAATAGAACTCTATTCTATTCTATAAAGCCATATGGACAGTGTGGATTATGTGGAATATAGTAAAACATAAAAAAAAAAAAAAAAAATCTAGTTTCTTGTCAGTTTTGTTCATTCAGTTTTCCATTCTGCTAGCTTGTATGTTAAATTGTATTATAACGGTGAATTAAGTTTGAGTGCTTAAAAAAACAGAATTGACCGTGCAATTTTTTTCTGTATTCCTTTTTTTTTTTAAACTTAGAGGCACAAGTGCTTCTTGGGGGAAAAAAAGTTAGTATAGACCCCTGCCTAATGGCCAGTCACATATATCAGGTAAACTAATAATTAGGTCATTTTAAATGTGTGCTTTTCTCGTAACTCAGTATACCATCTCTTTGGATAACAGGTGAGGATGATCTCGACATCCTGACTTCCCTTCTAGAAGAAAATGATACAGAGGAGCCAAAAGTGGATGATTTGGATGATCTGTTTGATAATGATGACGACAATGAGGAGGAATTTGATGATGGGCAAGCTAAGGATGAATCTGCCAAACACAAGGAAGACATTGAAATGCTCTTTGGAGATGTGGATGACATGGAGGAGGAGAGCATGCAGAACGAGACTTCAGACACAAAAGCAAGTGATTCCTATGATAAATCTAAGGAAGAGCTTGCAGGTAGGTGACTGTATCAGATCATCTTTTTCTTTATCTTATTAATTTCAATAGCAGTATATTATATATACTGCTTATATATAGCAGTTTATGTATGATCCTCTGCTAGCCAGATAGTGTTTCCCAGTACATTCCTCCGGGATCCCCAGACAGTCCACACGTGGACAACCTGAGGACTGGGGGGGTGGGGGATGCTGCATTAGGCTAGTAGGGAACTGGGAGGGACCAACATTGAGGACTATCTGGGGGTCCCCAAGTGCCAGGTTGGGCAACACTGGCCTAATACAATTACAAGCTTCCAGATTTCCTTTGCATCTCCTGTTGGTTGAATAGTAGTCTTATTAGGTTCTTGCTTTGTTTGGAAGATGTTGTGTAGCTCTTTGATACTGCTTACACTAGAGATGCACTGATTGCAATTTTCTTGGCCGATTCCGATTTCCAGTTTTTTTCGCCAGTATTACCTGCTTGTACCAATTTTTGCTGATTCCGATTTTCCTTCTAAGAACTGTAATTGACAGCTTATTCACTTCACTCACAGTGAAGAACTTCCACGCTGACGACATGTTAGCCTGTGCCACGGTGTGTAGTGGTGCCTGTGTAAAATGGCCCGGGTCGGCATTGGAAATACATGAGACTGATTGGCTGGTCTCCGGTCTGGGCTGAGCACGCTGAAAATTGTCCGATTCCGATTCCTGGCCGAATGATTGGTGCATCTCTAGCTTACACTTTTACGTCAAGAAATCATGACATACTTACCCAAAATGAAGATTTCAAGTCATAGGATGCCACTTTTGCAATAAGTCAGTTAGTGAAAATTCTTCCCTGCTAGATATTTCATGGTCAGCTATAAGTGGTATTATTGCAAAGTGGAAGCATTTAAGAACAACAGAAACTCAGCCATGAAGTGGCAGACCATGTACAAGAGCTGGTGCTGAGAGACGTAGTGCGTAAAAGTCACCAATGGTCTATTGACTCAATAAAAGCAGAATTCCAAACTTCCTCTGGCATTAAGCCCAGTACAAAAACTTTGCTCTGGGAGCTTTGTGGAATGGGCTTCCATGGCCGAGCAGCTGCATGCAAGTCTCACATCACCAAGTGTCGGATGGAGTGGTGTAAAGCACACTGCCACTGGATTCTGGAGCAGTGGAAATGTGTTCTGTGGAGTGACAAATCACTCTTCTCTCTCTGGCAGTCTGATGGATGAGTCTGGGTTTGGCGGATGTCAGGAGAAAGTAACCTGCCTGACTGCGTTGTGCCAACTATAAAGTTTTGGGTTGTTTTTCAGGGGTTGGGCTAGGGCCCCTTAGTTCCAGTGAAGGGAACTTTTAATGCTTCAGCATATCAAGACATGCTTTCACATTTATGGGAACAGTTTGGGGAAGGCCCTTGTCTGATCCAGCATGACTGTGCCCCAGTGCTCAAAGCAAGGTTCATAAAACCATGGTTGGGTGAGTTTGGTGTGGAAGAACTTGACTGACCTACACAGAGCTCTGACCTCAACCCCATCAAACACCTTTGAGATGAACTAGAATGGAGATGTTCAATGTGAAGGCCTGGTTCACAATCAGTGCATGATGTCACAGATGCTCTTCTGGATGCAGGGCTCCAGATGGTGACTAAAATGCAGCAAAGGCGGGACTGACTCCATATTGATGCCTATAGATTTATAATGGAATGTGAAAAGTTCTTGTAGGTGTAATAGCCAGGTCTCCCATATAGGGTGTCTAGTGGACTTCCTGATTGCTGTATCTTTGTAATGTGCTACTAGCTTCACTTATACAACGCTTTGGATAAAATCATCTGATGCATTTATTTCTCCTGCATAATCTGATCACCTGTAATGTCTCCACCAGCTGAGCTGAGGCATATGCAGGAGCAGATGCGTAAGCTGCAGCAGAAGCTGGAGGCCTCGCATAGCTCAGAAGCTTCCAGACCCAGCCAGAATGCACTTCCTGCCCCGGGGGCCACGAAGCAAGGCGGCTCCTCAGGTAATCACAGCCCTGAATCTCAAACTCAGAATTCCTCTTTCTTGTCTTTTGACAATAAGAATTAATATTTTGGCATTTTCTTCTGTATTTGTACTCTAGTGTCCTGGTTATGGATTTTCAGACGTGACATATTTTCCAACGCGCGCTCTCTGTCTGCTGGTGGGAGTGTGCTCACCTGTGTGTGCCGCACGTGTCTGTGCGCTCGCTTCGGGGCGGAACTCCACTATGCACGATACAGAGGAGAATTGTAAACGCGCGACCGTGTAGAGACAAAAATGACAGGCTGTTGTGTAAATAAGATAAATAACATAAGGCTATTTAGTTTATTTAATAAAAGGACAATGTATAGACCTGTTCTATAGGAAAGGTAACCTTAAAAGACTTCTGTTGTGATCTGGCGCTATGTAGAGAATAAAATTAAATAATATTAACTTGACCTTCAAGGGGAGGGGGGGCGGGAGATGCCGTTGGGGTGGGGGGGCGCCCCCCTAATATAATGGTAGGGGAAACACTGATAAGGATGTTTTGCTCCTGCATGGGTTCTGGGTTAACAAATTGTGAGTATTAAAACGCCTACAGGCTGCTACTGGAGAATAAAAAAATCCACTTGTGCACAGAGAGCAGCCAAAGGTAATTCACTTGGCATGTAAGGAAAACTATTAAATCGATAATGAGTATATATGCACTGCTGTTAAACGTGTGAAACCATGGTGTTAAAAAAGGAAGCCGTCTATAAGAGTTATCAATTTTGTTTAGCTAGCTGGCATGAGATTTTTCAATTCGAGACAAGCCTGCACCCACATTTACATGTATGTAACAGTTTTATTACCTTGTAAATAGTCTGTAGGGTTTGTAAAGTACCCCAACTCTTTTGATGTAGCTAATTTCAGGTTTGTAATGGAATAATATAGATTTGCTGTTAGATTTGCTTATCCCTCACTAATGTGAAGTGGTTCCTGTATCAAGCCTTAAGTCACTGTCAGTCTTTCATCAATACAAAAACCAGGGTATACAAATTAGAACAACTATTCATCAGCATGCAATGTCCTTGATTAACACCATGCTGCCCCAAAATGAAGGGCGTGACCAGATCATGTGCTGGTGCGACCCACTGAGAAAGCTGGTATCAGCAGTGCTGCCATTGGAAAAGTTAGTCTGAAGTCCTGTTCAATTATAAACCTGGTCGTGTCATAGCAACATTTGTGGATTTTGAATAATGTATGTTGTCGAATTTGCCACAGACAGTCCTGCACCCTTGACACAGAGGAGCCACCCCACAAAGTCACAAGAGTCCACCAAGACAGACCCCCACCAAAGGAAGCAGCGAATTAATCACCAGACCAGACCAGGACCTGCAGCTGGTATGAGTTGGCAACTCAGCGTTTTTCTCACGTTAAGCCGCAGTATTGGCTGAGGTTCTGTGTCTCATTTTGTCTCATTCTCAGCTTCAGCAGTCAGTTACCTGGTAGGGCAGAAGTGTCAACTAATGAAGGCCACTGACGCGGCACAAACTGTCCCCCGCACATCAGCTACTCATGATGCTACAGCAGAGAAGTTCTCTGGACTCAGGCTCAGGTTCTGTAACACGTTGACATGATGCAGACACTGATCTGCCATCATACCTATTGCTGCGTTCCATTTACCTGGAAGTTGGAGTTGGGAGTGATGTCACACCCAAGTTGCATTCCAGTAAAGCAAGTTGGAAAGCCATTTTGCAATTCCAGGGACCTCAAAAAGCAAGATTTCTTGCTTAGCCAGATAACTTGTTGGATTTAAGGTACCCCAGTGTAAATGGCCTTTATCTTCGTTCACTTACATTTAACCCAGACTACCTTAAATCCAGCAAGTTACACGGCTAAGCAAGAAATCCTGCTTTGTGAAACAGGCCCCAGTTCTTGCCCAGTTAATTATTAACCATTGTTAGCAATATCAGTTGATGCATAAAAACACCATAACAACACATCCACAGATAACGGTGTGTCAGGTGTATGTGTCCAACCAATTTAATGAGCCACGACTAAGACATAAATGCTAATAAACAGTAAAAAAAAAAAAAACTACAATTTTCACTTCTGTTGATAAAGGCCGCCATCTTGAATTCTGAGGTTGGGGTTGTGTAGATTCCTCCAACATTCCGAGTAGGAATTTTGACTTTGGTGGGCATTCCAATTGAAATTTCAATTTCCAAGCTCAGATGTAATGCAGCAACATCTGGATTTCTGGTCTTCATATAAATGAAAAGGAGCAGTTGTTTAACTTGTACTTTAATGGCCGTTGGCTTGCAGGAGACCACGCGTGTCCTCCATCGAGATGGAGCAAAAGATGGGAGACCGTCGCCTGATAAGGCTGTCGCAGCTACCAGAACGGCTGGCTCGCGAGAAGCTTGATGAAACTGATTGGGTCACTTTTGCCGTGGTGGTCAGCAAAGTCACTCCACAGAGTAACAGCAGTGTGAGTTTGGAGCCTTCTGTCCCTGAACTGACATGAAAATGGAGATTTATTTTATTCTTGGCTGCAAGATATTGGTTATGAAGTTCCAAAAAAGAAATTTTAAGATTGCCTTTTGAATTAAGTTTTAAGTGGTGAAATTACAATTTTTGTCTCAGGGCAAGACCTTTAGTATTTGGAAGCTGAATGACCTCCGAGACCTAGAAGTTTATGTAAACCTGTTCCTGTTTGGAGAAGTTCACAAAGAACACTGGAAGACTGATCCAGGCACTGTCATCGGTATCCTGAACCCAAATCCAATGAAGCCCAAGGAGGGGTCTGATGGGGTAAGTCTCGAGCTTTGTGTTTTTTGGAAGGGCTCACTTTTATTGTATACCACTGTTTAGGATAGTCAGCAGTTTTTTTTTGTCTTTTGTTTACAAATTTAGTCCTTGGTGTGATTCCTTACTTTCCACTCTGTACATATATAGTTTTTATCCTATTGTTTTTAATTTCTGCTGCTTTATTCTTATACTGTCTGCTTTCTGCTATGACAATGCAAATTTCCCACTTGTGGGACTAATAAAGGAGTATCTTATCTGATCTTATCTTATAAAGTAATTGATGGTTTATGGTAATTTCACGGTGTAACATGTCGCTTTTCCACTGGCATGCAGGAACTGAGCAGTACTGCAAAGAAAGACTAGTTACAGGATGGTTCCAGCTAGCCTCGGTTTTCCACTGTAGAAGAGTTGGCGCGGTAAAGCCGTTGTCGGGCTTGGAGAGCAACTGATGTAAAACTGAAGAGATGCTTATTTACCATTCACACTGTGTACATCCCGATTTCCTATGTGCACTTATTTATTTATTTATTTTTACTGTGTGCTAATTTCCCGTAAGCACGTCTCTGAGAATAACCGTGTTGTGCAAGTATCAACCACTAGGAATTAACACCGGCTTGTGTAACTTGTGTAAACACCGGTATCGCCTTGCATTTCGACCAATCAGATGGTGCTGACACAATCGGCTCGGTTTGGTCAAGTTGCGAGTAAGAAGGGCCATGTCAGCCCAGTTAAGGTTCGGGTACAGCTTGCATGCTTTACAATGGAAAGAGCTCAGTTCTTGATGGCAGTGGAAAAATGCAATTAGTATTTTTATTCATTTCAATGCACCTGGTAATTTTGTAGTAATTTTGAAATCATTATAGATGCAGTAAATTTTAAAGGGATTGTTATTCATAAAAGGGAATTGTCTGGAAATGTTTCCATACTATAGGAGTAGTTTAAGGATGATGAATAATGGCCGAAGAAGGAGGGGTTTATTTATGTCAGGTGGTCATTGTTTCATTCTGTACTTCTAATTACTGTCTCCCTGTATGGCTGTAGCTGTGCTTGTCTGTGGAGCACCCACAGAAGATTCTGCTCATGGGTGAAGCCCTAGACTTTGGAACTTGCAAGGCTACCAAGAAGAATGGGGACCCCTGCAGACAGCTAGTCAACCTGGTGGGTCCTGTGCTCTTCGTCTCATTACCTGCCCACCACTGGTATGAATAATCTCATGTTCCCATCCTGAGTTTAAAAACAGAGCTGCTGTCCAGTAGGTTTTCTGTTCTATCTGGCTTCTGATGAGCCACACCTGCTCCTGGTGTGGGGCAGAAGCTCTCCAGGACTGGAGTTGGAGACCACTGTGCTAGAATATAGGTGGAAAATCCTAATATAAATGAATATGTTTTCCCTGCCTGATATCTGCTTGCTTTGAATGTATCTGATTGTCCCCTCCAGTACTTGAATGTCTGGGTTCTGTGCTTCCAAACGGTCATTTGAAACTGTCGGATGCTTGTGACTCTTCTCACTTTGTTCATCTTTAATTGCAAAGCGCTTCACTCTGTCAGTAATGCCATGTTATGGTGACCTTGACCCACTATAGCACGAGTGCCAGTTCTGCCAGTACCATGTGAAGGCCCAGTACAAGAGCATGAGCTCCAAGAGGGCGGAGCTGCAGTCCAGTTTTTCCGGCAAGGTTGCCGGGAAGGCTCGGGGAAAGGGGGCTGTTGGATTAAAGGAGCGTCTGTGTCAAAGTGGGTTCCATTACGGGGGTGTGTCATCAATGGCGTTTGCCACCTCTGTGTGAGTACCCCCCCGGTAACCCCACCGCCTGCCCAATAATCCTGTCTCCTGTTCAGTGTCTCTGTCTCCTGCACAACAACCCCACCCATTACCCAATAATCCCACCCCCTGCTCACTAAGCCCACCCCTTTCTTAGTAACTACACCCACTACCCAATAATCCCACCCCCTGCTCACTAATCCCACCCCCTGTTTAGTAACTCCAACCATTACCCAGTAATCCCACCCCCTGCTCAATAATCCCACCCCTGCTCACTAAGCCCACCCCTTTCTTAGTAACTCCATCCATTACCCAATAATCCCACCCCCTGTTCATTAACCCCACCCCCTATCACTGTTTCTTCTCTTCCAGGGAGCTCTGCATGCCCCTAAAAAGGATATTGGATTAAAAATGCTCATTCATATTTGGATGGATGCTGGAGCTCTGTGATTTAAGATATTTATCCACGTTTCTGTGGTCCAATGCTGAGTTCCCACACCTTGCCCAGATTTCCAAAGCTCATTGATAATATCGTTGTGTGAACAAAAAAAAGTTGAGGAACATTCATATGCAGATTTTGTATGAAGATTTTGGAACCTATGAAGAAAAACTTATCCTGAAAAAGTTCACACTTTTACAAATGGTCCAGAGTAGGCATACAAACATTTTAGGTGAAATATAACTAATCTAAAGTTCAGATAGAAATGTGCTTCAGCGTTGCATTTAGGGTACAGCTAGTTTTAACCCTTGCTGAAATGCATGTTAATAAATACAGAAAAACTTGTACTGTGACATATCACTAACATTCAACATTCATCTTGAGTGAATTAACATATTAATTGTTGTAAATGAATGACTTTGCACATACAAAGATATTGTTCATACCGAACATTAGACACCAACATGTGTGCACCCAAATGCAATAGGTATTAAAAGGCCCATGTGTAAATATGCCAAATGCAACATCGTCATATTTAGCTTTGTTAGAGGATGTTATGCGCAGGCAAATATGAAGGGAGCAAATATTTAGAGATCACAGTGATTATTTTTCCAGTGATGATTCATAGCTTCTCAGTCATTTTAGATTCTGATGGAATTGTGTCCCTAGGTCAGGATCACAACAGAAGAAACCCAAGCAGACAACTCTGAGCAATCTGTTTGTAAGAGGTGCAGACCAGATCGTCAGTCAAGCAAGGAGGCTCGGTGAGATTAGACCGTTTTTACTGTGAGAACTACTGATACCAGGAAATCCGGGGAGCTGTCTTGGGAGGGGGGGCAGTTGGAATGGTAAATGTTGCTGACTGGATCGTAAAATGTAGTTTTCCTTTCATGTCCACTGAAGTCAAATATATGTGCGACATACAAATAAAGTTAAAAGTGTCTGATTTCTAGTGTTATGGGGGGACCCACAGCCAGCTATTTTCAGATGTCCTGTATTCATTTCGGAGAGGCAGATGAGGGACGACCGCGGGGGAAGGATATGGCTGAGCTGGATGGGTTTGGATGGTATTACAGCAGATTTTATCAGGAAATACTGGAATAGCGTTGCTTTTAAAATACTGTAAAAAAAAAAACATATACCATAGTATAATGTCTGGTTGGTATGATGGTATTACAAATTAGATACCATCCAAGCTTACTATGGGGTTTGTTGGGGTCCTCGCAGTAAAATTTGCAAAACAGGGCTAGAAGGTGGCAGGTAAACTTCTTGCTGCCTAATTTTACTGCAGCTCAGTAGTGGAACCACAGATTTTCAGGACATTGTGCCTTTTCCACGGGTATCAAGGAGCTGCTGTTCATTTGCGGGAGACTCCCGGAACTTCCAGTAGAGGTGGGATGGCTGCAGTGTTTTTCAGTGTTGAATACAGCTCAAGAAAAATAAGAGAGGCTATTGACTAGGAATGTCTGAAAGATCAATTGGTCAGTCGCAATCGACTTGTTGGCAGCCACTGGATTAGACCCTGTTATGCTGAAATTTTTGTGAGATCACATACTGAATTACGGCTGTCTGTTACTGAGTCTTGTCGGTTCCAGTTGCCAGTTTCTGAGTTGCTCTCTCTCTGAGAACTTACCATATTTTTGGTTATCTGTAGCCATGGCTACCAGTGAGGTCACTGGCTGCTCCGATGACTTCAAAAGCCTGCTATCAATGCAGACGCCAGGAGCCCTCAACCTGAAGAAACACCTGCGGCATAATACGTCAGGTAGGAAGCCCTTGGCCTCTTTACCATTACCCAAGAATATACAGGGTCTTCAAGGGGTACCCACCCCATCCCTGCCCCATCAGCACCTTTCTGATACTACATAGCATCATACTATAGTTCTTTAGCTGGTAGTAAGTATGGTATTAGTTGGTGCTTCAGTTTGGGGAATGTATGGCAATATCCTGACTTTATCCTTACACACTTTGATTATGTATGATTGTCTTCTGCATTTCACTACATATTGTACTGAATATAACTGTATGTGACAGATGGACCTATGATACTTGATACTCACACGACCTTCTCTGGCATAGAATACTTTTCCTGAGATGTGATACATGGTGGCATTTGCTTTGTGTTTAAATGAGATGCTAGAGAAACCTTCCCAACACAGGCGGTATGGTTGGTTATGTAGTGAGATCCTCGGTGTTTGTTAGGCTCGGCCAATGCAGCGAGCCCTGGAGTCCAGTCTATCTCGGCTGGCCAGCTCCTCAAGCAACAGAAGCAGCAGCTCATGGAGGCCAGACGCAGGAAGTCTGAGAATCTTCAGCAGAGGTACGTCGGTCTGTATGGGTGCTTTTCCACTGCACCAGCTACTGTAATTTTGGTACTTCAAAAAAATGCCAGAAGTACAGTCTTCTTGGGTCACTAATGTAAAACTGGTTACGGCGGTGAATGACATCATCACAATGCAAGGCGGGAATTTTGCACCGTGAGAGAAATAATTATTTGACCCCCTGTTGAATTCCTAATTTCAACCATTTATAAATAAATGAGAAGTCTATCATTTCAATGGTAGGTTTTTTTTAACATCACAAGATAGATTTTCAACACAAAACAAATAAGAAAAAATCATTGTGTAGCAGGTAAAAATCAATTTGTCATTTATCTAAGGAAATAATTATTTGATCCCGTACAACCCAGCACAAAATTAGGTCAAGTTACATGTGCACTAACACAACACAGTAGTACTTAAGTATTAACAGATACCAAGCCAGTATTGTCATTTAATGGGCATTACTTTGTTAAACATTATTCTTGGGCCACTAACCTGTCTACATCTTCAACCTTACCACCATGGGAAATACCAAAGACACGTCTAAGGACATTAGAGACAGGATTGTTGACCTTCACAAAGGTGGAATGGGCTATATGACCATCAGCAAGCAGCTTGGTGAGAAAGTGACAACTGTTGGTGCAATTATTCGCAAATGGAAGAAATACAAAATAACTGCCAGTCACCCTCGGTCTGGGGCACCAAGGAAGATCTCATCTCATATTGCATCAATGATCTTAAGAATGGTGAGGGCTAACCCCAGAACCACAATGGAGGAGCTTGTTAATGATTTCAAAGCTGCAGGGACCTCAGTCAACAAGAAAACCATCAGTGACACATCATGCCATTACGATTTTAAATCCTGCATTGCTTGCAAAGTACCCCTGTTCAAGAGGGCCCATGTTCTGGCCCTTCTGAAGTATGCCAGTGAACACCTGAACAATTCCAATGAGGCTTGGAAGAATGTGATGTGGTCAGATAAGACCAAAATTGGGCTGTTTGGCATCAACTCTACTCGCTGTGTTTGGAGGGAAAAGAATGCTGACTGTAACCCCAGGAACACCATCCCTACCGTCAAACACGGAGGTGGAAGCATTATGCTTTGGGGGTGTTTTTCTGCCAAGGGTACAGGACGGCTGCACCGCATCGAAGGAAAGATGGACATAGTCATGTACCGTAAAATCTTGGATGAGAACCTCTTTCCTTCAGCCAGGGCACTAACAATGGATTGTGGATGGATCTTACAGCAAGACCGTGACCCTAAGCATATGGCCAAAGCAACAAAGGAGTGATTGAAGAAGAAGCGCTTTAAGATCATGGAGTACCCTAGTCAGTCTCCCACATAAGAACTATGAAGGAAACTCAAGCTTTGTGAATCCAAGTGACAGCCTAAAAACCTTCACGATTTGGTGAAGGTCTGCAAAGAGGGATGGATGAACATTTCTGCTGACCTGCATGCAAACCTGCTGATCAACTACAAAAAACGTCAGACAGCTGTGCTTGCAAACAATGGTTATTCCACCAAGTACTAAAGCATGTGTTCTAAGGGATCAAATTCTTATTTCCCTAGATAAATGACAAATTGGTTTGTAACTGTTACATAATGATTTTTTCTTGCTTGTTTTGTTAATCTATCTTTTGCTGTTGAAATAAACCTACAGGTGAAATGACAGACTTCTAATTTCTTTATTAATGGGTCAACTTAAGAATTCAGCAGGGGGTCAAATAATTATTTCCCTCACTGTATATAGGGATGGGCAAGGTGTGATATTAATACCAACATTGCATGTTCTGTACATGAAATTCTCACATTGCAAGGACCAGGCTAGTCTGATTTTTTTATTGCAATATTTGAAATTTTCAAATCGTGCAGCCGTAATATATTATAGCAAATTCTTTATTTCTTGTCATGCCATCCATCTCTTATTGAATCTGTTAATCCAACCACATTGTACTTTGCTTGGATCTTTTCGTTTATCCTTGCATCCATTATTATTACTTTTGAATTATTTTTCCTTTAATTTTTCATTGTTTTCTGAGTTCGTACCCACACTTTTTCAGCAGGGCACATGTATTTTGTATTTGCAAGGCAGTTTATTTGCATATCTAATTGACAAACACATTTGTAGGTCCCGCCTTGAAGTACTGAAAAAGTATCAGTTCCAAAAGTATCAGGTAGTACCAAGTACTTACGGTACTGGTACCTAAACAGAAATCAGTGGAAAAGCAAGAGTACCTAATTTTTAGTATCAAAAGTATGGCATCTAGTGCAGTGGAATGTGACCTAATCTGCTGTGGTTCTCTATAAAGGGTGGGGGGGGGTGAACGTGAGTGACCCTCATTTCCCTGCCTTTCTGTGCTGTCTAGGTTCCTCCAGAACAATGACAAAGTTGGTCCAAAGATGCCCTCACCAGAAGCAGTCAAGCAGTCCCCCACAGGGCAGGGCCACACCCCCAAGCTGGGGCGTGGCTTCAGTGAAGGGCAGGACGTCCTGTTCTTTGACCATACACCAACAGCTCCAACACTTAACTTATCAGCTGCAAAGGTATGTGGATATGAATGGAATTTTTACCGTATCATAGTTAAAAAAAAAAAAAAAAAATGCATATTATAATGCAGAGTTTCACAAGCATTGGCCATTGCAGTGATAGTGTGTTTGCCATTCCTGGAAGCTGGGAAGTCAGACTTTCGCATCACTCCATCATCTTCTAATCAGCAGCCCCAGAATGTTAGCCATTAAAGTTGCTAATTCCAAAATGAGGTCATTGCTGACAGTCATGGTCACCAAGCTAAACAAATTCCCTCTTTGCAGCTTTCATTTATGGGAGGGGGTGGTCTTCACTGGCTAAAGCCAAAAGTTGAGATAATAATAACCACGGACAGTTTTTGAAGAAAAAAAAAAAAATCCTTTTAAAAGTGTGTCCCTTGTGGTGTGCAGACCAGCCTGAACTGAAATAAAATTTTTAAAAAGCGTCCCTTATTGATCCATGATCTGACATGCTTGCCGTCAAAAGGGCTTGAAGCTGACTGGTCTACTTTTCAGTTAGCTGCGCTGAAAAAGCTGCGGCAAAAAGGAGCAGCGCTGGCAAAAGAAGACCCGAACTCCGTGAAGAGGAAAAGGCCAAACGCCAGTGACATCACCAACAGGGTGGAGCAGAACCGGGAGTCCCCTTCAGGTAGCGGCATGGGTCTTCAGCTTGGCCAATCATGGGAGTCCGGGAACTCAACAATGACAGAAATATCTGTGTAGGTGGGTCAGAACCGGAGCTTGAAGAACCTGAGCTGAAGAGGCGCAGAGAGCACTTGGAGTACTTGCAGTCTGACGCTTTTCAGAAGATCCTCAACGCCAAATCAAGACACTTGGGGGTGGTGCAGGATGTGAGTCTTCACCCTTTAGTCCTCACATACCATTTGGTAAAACTGACTTTAAGAAAGCATTTTCCTTCTTTACACCTCTGGTATTCATCAGCAGCAAGGCTATAATATCAATGACTGGTAAGCATCTGGCAATGAGGGGAGCCAGTGCATCGCCCAGGTGCATCATGGGAGATGTATTGCTGAGTGGGTACTGGTGTATTGCTGAATAGGCCATGTTGTTCCTTGAAAAGATCTTCAGCGTTTCAGTTGGTAGGGTTGCCTTTAGACTGGTTAGTGTAGTGATTCTTTATTGTGGTATGACAAAATAGGTCGGTCAGTCTGCTGAATGTAAGTTATGAGGTTTGAATGTAATAAAGAAATGGTAATGTATGGTTTGAGGAGTTAACCTGGTTGATACCAGGGTGGGTGCTGAGTCCTGTTGCTCCTGTTGTAGGCAGAATTTCAGATCCAGGAGAAGTACTTTGATGCCCTCGTGAAGAAGGAACAAATGGAAGAGAAGATGAGGAACATCCGAGAGATGAAGTGTAGGGCTGTTACCTGTAAAACGGTGAGTTTACGTGCTATGGTACTTCGCAGACCTGTAGACTTTGGGGGTGAGGTGAGATGTTCCCCTTTGGTAACCAAGATGTCAATAGCCTAACGTGTATAGTGTGGCTGGCTGTGTCTTGGCAGTGCAAGTACACCTACTTCAAGCCCTTGGATAGGTGTGTGGAAGACAAACATGAGTACCACTGGCATGATGCCCTGAAACGCTTCTTCAAGTGTCCCTGCGGGCAGAGGGCCATTGCCCTGGACAGGATGCCTCACAAGCACTGCAGGTCACTTTCCCTCTGACTCACCGGTTCCTCGTCCTTTGATTTTTAAATTCATATTGAAAGAAGCTTATTTTGTATTTTGCAGCAACTGTGGTCTTTTCAAATGGGAGCGGGATGGCATGATAAAGGTACTTGGTGTATTTGTCTTGCTCTTAAGAATAGCTTTGAGAATCTGTGTTTAGGGCGGAACCCCAACTTTTTTAATGCACCCCTTCAACATCCTTCCAGGAAAAGTCTGGCCCGAAGATTGGAGGAGAACTACTTTTACCCCGGGGAGAGGAGCAGCCCAAATTTCTTAACGGCCTAAAGTGACTACCATTCCGGTCAGATGTCCATAGCACTGTGGCAGCTGTGATTGGCCGTCTTTGCTTTTGTTTGTTTTAGAGTAATCGGGAATAATCATCACTGCTCTGTTTTTAACATCAGTGCCATTTTAGTGAATGTTTTGTCATCAAATTATGCACCGTGTGATTTCTATGGTCTGAAACTGTGTTTTATTAAAATGAGCCAAGTGCACAGATGGATATTTCTAAGAGGGTCATCTGATTTGTTAGATGTTTGGGAAAGGCTGTAGGTACTTTCTCCCTGAGACGCAGGAGGAGTGGGCTGCTGCTCAGCAGATTAGGTCTCTGTGCCTGTGATCAGAAGGTTGCTGGATAAAATCCCATCCTCTTGTGCAAGATCATTAAAACACAACCCCTCCTCCCCCATCCATCCACTCATCCATTTTCTGCCGCTTATCCGGAGTCAGGTCGTGAAGACAGCAGGTTAAGCAGGGATGATGCCCAGACTCACCAACCATCTCCTCCAGCTCCACCGGGGCATACCAAGGCATTTCCAGGCCAGCAGAGAGGTACAATCTCTCCAACATGTCCTGGGTCTGTTCCCGGTTCTCCTCCCGGTTGGACATGTCCGAAACACCTCCCCGGGCAAGTGTCCAGGAGGCACTCTACATAGATGTCCGAACCACCTCAAACGACTCCTTTTGATGCGGAGGAGCAGCAGCTCTACTTTGCGCCGCTCCTGAATGTCTGAGCTCCTCACCCCATCTCTAAGGCTGAGCCCATACACCCTATGGTGAAACTCATTTCTGCTGCTTGTATCCGCGATCTCACTCTTTCGGTCACTACCCAAAGCTCTTAATCATAGGTGAAAGTATGAACATAGATCTACTGGTAAATCAAAAGCTTTCCCTTCCACCTTAACTCTTTCACCACGACAGAACGGTACAGTGTCCGCATTACTGCTGACGCTGCACTGATCCTCCTTTCGATCTCGCGCTCCCTTGTGAATTTGTGAACAATACCCTGAAATGATTAAGCGTAAAAGTACAAGGTTGTCACACTGCTGTGATGTTTTTGGTTTGTTCTTTGTTATAAATAAAGCATTGAAAAATGTACACTTACTGCCTCCATAGCGAGTAATTTTGTAACACTGCTGCAGCATTCTCTATATTTTAACCACTGCTCCACATCGTATTGGTACTTCGCTCTGCCACTTAACTACCCAATGTTGAATGTTGTGTTGTATGTTTTTAGATATCATAGTAGATAATATTTCATACTTAGTATTACAGCTACATGATATTGGAAAAAATCCATTTCTATGCAATGAAAAGCAAAAATTAGTTCAAATTTCTCAAACACATCTCATGAGTGATTTAAACAGCAAGGATGAAAATGAGTAGAATTGACTTGGAGAGGAAAACTGGCTCATGCAAAAGTAGCGACAGTAAACTTCAGTATGTTTTTAACAGTTTAATCTTTGAAAGGAGTGGTCATTAATACTGCAAAACGCTGTACAAAGATGTACACTAGTGATCGGAACATTTTCTCTCTTGCTTATGAAAATATTCAGTTTTGAATATCTTCTGGCCACTCATTCATAAAAAAAAAAAATCTGATTCTACTTTAATGCTAACTATATACACTGTATATAAACTCATAGTCCCGTGACAAAGGATGACCATACTGCCACCAAGATTTGTGGTGGTACTGTATCTTGTTTACACGTAGCATTAATTCTTCACAAAGGTGCACAGACGACACATAGAATCAACACAGAAAAAGAGTGGCATCCATGATCCACACACGGACACGTTGTGAGCATTGGGTATAAATCGCCCATAAATCCTCCTCTGAGTCTTCCAGCTCTACTTCCTCCAAGGAAGGTGTATCGGTAGGATTCAGGATGCACTCAGAATACTACTTCCACCGCCTGACTAAATCCCCTTTTGAGGTCCATCCCTGGTGTAAACAGCTTAGGTGAAGCCTTGCTTCCCCCTCCTTAGTCGCCTGATGGTTTGCCAGAATCTTTGAGGCTGACTGAAAGTCCTCTCCATGGCTTTGCCAAATTCCTCTGGCATAGTTTTGCTTCAGTAACAGCCACAGCCGCTTTCCACTTCGCCTGCCGGTCCCTGCCAGCTGCTTCATGAATCCCACCAGCTAACCAAGCTCAGAAGGCCTCCTTCTTCAGCCTGACAGCTCCCTTTACCGCCGGTGTCCACCACCGGGTTTGGGGATTGCCACCTTGACAGATGCCAGCAACTTTATGGTCACAGCTTTGCACAGCCGCTTCTGCAATGGAGTCCCAGAACATGGCCCATTCAGGCTCAATGTCCAATGTCTCAAAGTTCTACTGGAGACGCAAGAACTCCTGGACAGAGGCTTCCAACTCAACACCAGGTGCTGATTAGGGTTGGGAACCGAAAGTTCCAAATTAGAACTGATAAGAAAATACCAGGTACCCAATTATTTTCGAATTGGTTCTGCTTATCAGTCCCTAAACACCACATACTCGCAAGGACATGCGTGGCTCTCTGCCAGGACCTGCTTTAGGTGAGTACGTTATGCATCAACGATCAACAGCCATTTGCTTAGACACAAGCTATCATGCGTGACAACAGTGTGAAAGATCTGATCTGTCTATTAGTTTTTTTGCTTTAGAATGATCTGATCACTCTGCGGGCCACCGAATTTGAACCAGTGACATTCTGGTCACAGGTACAGAGTCCACACCGCCCACAAAAGCTATTAAAAATTGCAAATACCTGATTTATGGTTACACAGGACAAGCTACCATATGTTTGGTCCTTTCCAGAACCAAAAAAATCTAATTTAATCAGGTGATGGAGTAATTAACTGTGGCATGAAGAACTGCTCAAACTTGTTTCCTTTCTTCTCACTCAAAAGCATTAAAGGTCATTCCTCTGTGCTCTTTAATGGGGCAACAGGGTTAAAGATTGGACGCTCCTGTCTGAGTTTCAGTCTTCCATACATCATTTCAAAGTCCTTTTTTGTCCCATCCAGAGCTTCCAGGCTTCCTGTTTTAATACTATAACCATAGGACTCCAGTTTTTGTATACGGTAGAGCACAATTTGTGTGGTCAGCTCTAAGATTGTAGGTGTGTCCTTGATCTGGTCCAAACTAATGCCTGCTTCAAAGAGTCCCTTCAAACGGTCATCTAGAATAGGCACAGGATAATTAAGGAGCCCAGGGCACTTGAGGATAATCACCCTTAGTTCAGTCTCAGAGCACTGTAGAGTCTCCAGGGAATAAGTAAGGATGTTCTGCATGCTTTTAGGGCTAAGTTCTGCGATGAAGCCCTTCAATTTGGACACTAGGTGGAGGAGCTCTACAGCAGAGAACCCCCTGTCCTGTAAGAACTGGATATTCTCCCACACCACCTCTGGGGGTTTAATCAGTATGAAAGGGTTCTGACTGAGTAACTTCTGGAGCCAAATCTTCACATTATTCTCACTGCCCCCAAGACTAAGGTATGACTCCTTTAAGGTATGGATCATTTCCTGGTTCTTCCCCACCGGTCTGCTGAAGCTTTGCGGAGCACTGCCCATTAATTTGCTGATGATGCGCTTGTTCAAATGTAAGCTCTGAAAAAACTGTATATTGGCCTTCTGATTAGCATGGTGACTGACAGTAAAAAATGAAGCTGGAAATTTCTCAATTATACCCAGTAGGTCTTTACTATTAGGACAGACAGTCGTCCACAGGTCATACTGAGCCTGTAATTCCTCAGGAGTGCAGAGAACTGCTTCTGGATGCTGCTCCAGAATACGTCCAATTGTTTCCTTATTAGCACCCAAGTCCCGCAAAAGGCTAGCTGTCTCGTTAACGTATGTAGGATTCTGAAACAGAACCCATCCTTTCAACTTGCGAATTTTCCCAATGTCTACAGACAAGTGAGATAAATGGTCTACAGTGAATTTGTTCTCTACCTGGCTGGAACTGAGTGTGGAGCAGTGTGTTCTGGGTAGGAAGGAAGGCCTAATATGCAGCCAGTAGGTGCAGAAGGATGTTGTTGTCCATCGCAGCATGGTTTCAACCACAGGACAGTCTGGGAAAAATAAACAAGGAAAAAAAAATCTGAATTGTAATTAACCCAGTAATGCAGTGTAGGAATAACGGATATTAATCCCCCAGAGCAAATTCCAAAAATAGCATTTTGCTAATTACTCCCTGGAGATTTTTTGAGATTACCTTCCAATCTTATTCATTCAACTTTATATTGCTAAAGTCTAAAATGTGTTGACATAAAGATTTAACTAATATATAACAATATATTAATCAGCAGGACAGCACTTTTCTGAAAGGATCAATTTCACAATCAACAGCTGTGTACTTATTACTTCATATTTCAATATGTCAGCACTGCTTCTTCACAACACAAGGGCATGCATCTGGCTTTCTATATCATTTTACTTTGAAACAAACATAGCCAGCTTTATTCAAGATCTAACTTAAATGTTTGTATATGATCCTCTCGATGCTCTATATGAATTTAATTTTATAAATAAAACAAGCATACCTCTGAATCCTTATTAATCTGTGAACGTAAGCTGTAATTTTATTTTATTATTTTTAAACTGAGTGGTTCCGGATGTTCAGCTCCAGGGATTCTCACAGGGAGCCGTCCTGTTTCGATACAGAAGTTGCAGAATGAAAAATACTCAAACCTCCACCTTGCAACGGGAACGGTTTCGCTACATGCTTTGAACCAGTAAAGAAACTTGGTCATTCTTCTAAAAAATACTAGACAGAGAAAAAAAAATAAATATATATATATATATACATAAATTTCCACCAACACGATTGTTCAAAATATCCCAGTAATTCAGTTGTAACATTTCAAACCGAAAGTCCCTGGGCTTGTGTGTGTCATTCGTTGTGGTGTCTAAGTTTATGCCTGATCATACATTAACGACAATTTTGTTTCATATCTCACGTAATGCTTTTCACATTTTAGTTGCATAGGTAAATTATACGTAAGATAATCTTTAATGAAGAGCAAAGATATCTGGTTGGTAATGTGTGGTGTTATATATTTTCAGGGGTCCTTCAGAGGAAGAATGGGTGTCGCAGAGTAAACGGCTGCCTTTATATCTTAGAAACATGTGAGTATTGATTAGTTGTATAGTTTATGTTCACGCCAGATAAACTATGTACACTGAATATTTCAGTGGTTGTTTGTATGTCTTCATACAACTTTATAATATAACTCACTGTCTGTGTAAAATTAGCTTCTCACTATTTCCGTACGGTAGTGTAACTGCACAATGTATACAATCCATACAATGCACTCTGCAGCAGCGATGACAGCTTTAATAACAACAAACTTTTCCAGTAAATCTATATGAGCTTCTTGTGTCTTAATATAAGTCAGCTCATGTTTTGTGGGAAACTCTCGTTGCTTTTGGGTAACTTGCATGGAATTTGATAGGACTTTTCGCGGATCTTTTTTTAATCATTTATGCTTCTCCTTTCATAGAGATGAAAAGGTTCAATTACATCGTTTTAAATAATAGGCGTAGAAGGTTGCAAAGTTGATAAAAACACATACACTCACCATTTTATGAAGTAATTGCCTACTAATATTGGCATTTAAGAGTGTTCGCATTGTCTGAATTCTCAGAGCTGTAGATCACTTTATGATCATGTTTACCGGAAACATTTTTTGAAAGTAATAAAAGATAGCAATTACAATTTTTTTCTGTGTGCTAATGAAATACAGGGCAGTGATTTTGTTAGTAACAGTGTTAGACGTTATCTGTGTAATATGCTATAGAAATATTAATTGTTTTCAGTATTTCATTTGGGTAACCTGTGGCATCTTCTGAAGTAACGTGTACACTGAAGTCCTGTATTGGGTCTCACTGCTTTCGGTTTGTTTAGAGCCACAATGACTATCGTGATTGGCTTTGAGGGTAGTGCCAACAAGATTGGTATTGGTATTGTGAGAGATGGGGAGGTCCTGTCCAATCCACGACGCACATATATCACACCTCCAGGACAAGGTAAGTACTTTGTTTCCCTCTGCTTTTACTCTGTTACATAATGGATAACCAATCCGTAACAAATTGAAAAAAGGCATGTGGAGGGGAGGGGTAACATTTTTTTCCACATAATTGTGAATAAAGTACTCTTTACCTACTTTCAAACAAAAAAAAAGTATTGTTATTCAGAGTGATTTAAGAGTTCTGAGCTTACAAAAAAACACTGAAACTACACACTAATCTTACTCTATTTTTCATTTTTAGAAAAATAGCCCAAAGTGTTCCTGAAGTGTATAAAGTGTTTTGGGGGAGACTTTCTTAAAAGAAAGTTCATGCTTACCACTGATGAAGTTTGCAGACCACAGTACACCCATTCATTGTCTAGTGGAAAAGAGTATGGGTGGTCCAAACTAGGGATTATCACATAGCTAGCGATATACCGGCAAAAAAAATCCCCATGATAATAATTAGTCATCCTGCGATAATACCGATAAACTCTAATTGATGACGTATATGTGTGTGTGACGTGCTCGCAGGCCGGCCCGCTGTAACAAGCGTGGTGGAAGGTGGAGGAGAAGCCGAGGAAGAGTTCATTGCTAAAAAAAAAATATCTACCTCAGTCATCTGGAACTGGTTTGGTTACAGAAAATCTGACGTGGAGCAAACAACTGTAATACGCAAAGTTTGCAAAAAAAACAGTCCTTACAAAGGATGGTAATGCATGCGGTTTGTTCCACAACCTGGAACACAAACTGGCATATGAGGACAGCCAGAAGATGCACAAGGAGACAGGTCAAGTTGTAGTTATGTTATAGTTAAGAAAACTCCTACTCAGACAAGAATTGCTGACACATTTTCTCATTGCATTCCTTATGATAAGCAAAGTAAAGTATGGAAGGAATCGAAGGACATTTTGCTCGGTTAAAGACATGTTGTCACTCCAAAAAGATCCGTAATCCTAAGAATTGTCAATAACCAGACAGTAGTCAAAACACGGGTAAACAAATACACAAGCCGAATAACTAAAACCGAATAACTAAAACCGAATCGAAAACCGAAAGCGCGAAAGTCGAAAGCCAAAAACAGGTCGTAACAATAGATCATTTGAATTATAATATTTTTTGTCATCATTTATACCGTTATCACAATAAATACCAGAAAATAATATGACAAAATTTTAAGTCCATATTGCCCATCACTAGTCCAAACACAAAGTTTCTGTTTCTTTAGTAACTCTCTTGAGCTACAGCAAAATACAGTTTTTGTTTTGTAAGGTTGTTTCGTTATTGGGTAGGGACTATATCATTATAAAGTCAGAGTGATGCCAAAAGAACTGGAAAAAATAAGCTGTATTATAACTAAAAGTATGAAATGGAAAAGTACAGAATTATATGCATTATTAACAAGTCCTGATGTTGGATGACATTGTATAGAAATGTGTGTCTGACTGTGGGTCACCCCACCTTTCATTGGTTGGGGTTCACATCCTACCGTCAGACTGAGTGTGTGTGGAGTTTGCATGTCCTTCATGTGTTTTGAAGATTCTCCCCAACAGTCCAAGGGAGATTAGGTGAACTAGAATCTCAAAATTCCCTGTAGTGTACTATGATACTTGATGAGTACTCTTGCTTTGTGCTCTGTACTGGGTAAGTGGTTGACCGGTGGATGAATTATTTTTTGTAGAAATTAAGGATATATTAGTGATATTAAAGTTTAGTTCTGTTGATCAGATATTGAATAGGAATTGAAAATTTATTAGAAGTGCTTAAAGACATTGGATCAGAGTTTTGTATATAGTTTCCTTTACTACTGTGAATGCTGCCAGGGTTCCTGCCAAGCCAGACAGCCAAGCATCATCGCGGTGTTATTCTCACAGTCCTGAAGGAGGCGCTACAAGAAGCAGGGTTAAAACCCGCCGACATCGACTGTGTGGCTTACACAAAAGGTGACAGCCTTCAGATTTTCATTCTCTAATAATCTCATTTCATTCTCCATTCACTGCACCTCTGATTGATTTAATGTATAACAAGGCATTCTGCAAGTTTAAGAATCTCACATCTCCTCACTGACTTTTGGACTCTCTTTGTAAATTTCTTACTATAGCTTTTTAAGATGATTTGGATTAAATTTAGTAGAATTTTGCCATGTTCTATAAGTAGGGGTGTAAGTAGTTGGCCCCAAGGTGATTTGATTACAATTATTGAGGATTCAATGCTTGTATAATGATTTGATTAGATTAATCAATTATTTTGATAATCAAAACTCAAAAAAAAAATTCTTCTCTGAAGAAAAATCACAGATATTGTCATGGGAACTTAATTACACACTATTAATGGAATACAAAGGAAGTAAAATGTAGGAACATTCATTTTTATTGTTGCTATTAAACAGGGAGAACATGCCAGTATAAAACCAGAGTATGTCAATATCTTGATTTTTAACGAATATAGGCTGAATATCGGCTGATACTGATATGTTAACCAACATGATGTGAATCTGTTAGGTTAACATTCATTTTTACTTAGCAGTCTAGTAAGCTACGTTGCTACTGTAGCTTGCAAAAATAATGGCTTTTTTTGTGCTACAAAATGGGCGTTTTGGAAAAGCATTGTAGCACAAAGATCATCTTAACCATTAGAGAGATTGTTCTTCGCTTCAAAACGGGGATGTTTCCCAAAAGCACCATAACACATAGATCATCAGGTAGTGCTTCTTTTATGAGTAGTGGTGAGCCTTCTCCTACCGTCCTATGTTTTAGAAATTTGCATATTGCCACTGCTACATTGAGCATCTGTGAATGTGTAATCCACAATCTTGAAGTAGGAGTATCTTTATTTTACTCCCAATAAACAGCTCTGACATAACCGACCAATGCAATGTGGCTATATTGTTATTAGTTTTTATTGTCATCTTAAAGTGGCTCTGCACTTAGTATGAGTACTCTGTGCTCTTACGCCGCATTACTCCTTGGTTGCTCTGTGACTCTTTCTGTTTCGGCTCCCCAGGTCCCGGAATGGGGGCCCCTCTCGTGACAGTGGCCATCGTGGCCCGGACAGTGGCCCAGCTGTGGGACAAACCGCTCCTGGGAGTGAACCACTGCGTTGGCCACATTGAAATGGGTCGTCTGGTCACCCATGCCAGCAACCCAACTGTCCTGTATGTCAGCGGGGGAAACACACAGGTCAGAGCCTGGCTGGGGACTCCGGACAGATTTCACTTCCCAATTCATGTTATTTCACTTAAATGATTTTAATTGTTAATTTTAGTTGTGTTTTGACACTAATAGATAAGTACTATGGTATAATATGTATTATGGTATAATGTTTGGCAGCGGTACAAGACTTCTGTAATCTTTTTTGAATAAGGGTACCTTTTCATCTTCTCATTGGGATGAGAATTTGTTTCTTGTGCATGCTGTTTGCTTATCTTGCTTGTCCTCTAACACAGTAAAACATTATGCCTGGTTGTATAGAATACAGTGCACAACTTGTGAGCTATTTACTGCCTAAATGAGTACAAATCCCTAACAAATCACAGATCAAACACCTTACATGACAATCATACTCTGATTGGTTTGTCCTGCCACCCGATGAAGGGTTCATTTGTTGGTAGGACATGACTAAGGCTCCCTAAGGACATTTTGACAACAACAAAGGGGTGAAACAGTTTGAGTGCTTTGAGTGTATAATGTAACTGTAAGTCTTTATACAGTACCCCCTTTTTGGGTCATTATGAGAGCCCATTGTTCTTTGTGCCCAGGTGATTGCGTATTCTGAGCGCCGATACAGGATATTCGGGGAGACCATTGACATCGCCGTTGGAAACTGCCTTGACAGATTTGCCAGAGTAATTAAGGTAGTGCATTCTGGTTCTTATGTGGGTTTATTGGTACTTGTTCTTATGACACTCAAGTGACATTCATACAGTTTTATTCTTAATTTCATTATTCATACAGTTTATACCTTGGATTTTTTAAATGTTTGAAAGTTATGGAGAAATTAGATTTTTTTTCTTGTTGGGCAATAATTAATCATGGTTGGGGTGGCTGGTGGTCTAGTGGGCAGGACTTGGTGTTCTCACCATCTTGGCCTGGGTTTGATCGGAAGGTTGCAGGTTTGGTTTCCAGGGTTAGCAGACTGATGCCGCCATTGGGTCCAATTGCCCACTGCTCTATTTTGTTTGTGGGATGTGCTTTTCATGTGGTCAGATTTTTAAAAGGCTACTCAATTAACCATTTCGATCAAGCTTGACTGAATGGTTCCAGAAACATTGTTCAAACAGAGACTGTACATTAATTTTGGAATTCAGATCAACTAACAAATTCAGCAACTTTTTGATTGTATTTGTTATATCTCTCATTCTCTGCAGATCTCCAATGACCCTAGCCCGGGCTACAACATTGAGCAGATGGCCAAAAAGTAAGTTTGTTGATGTGGAACTTCTGAAATTACCAGAAAGGTGCTTTTTCCCTGAAACCTGAGTTCTTTTTTCAACTCAGTCATTTATATCAGGATTCTCAGTTCTCAGCCTGAATGGTCTCCACAGAAGAACAAAGCCCATAGCTTTGTTTATATTAACCCACTTACACCACGGTTACCCATTTGGCTTACACGATTGTACTTCAAGACCATTATTTTCATGTGTACTAGCTGAAAATGAATTTATCAGTAGAACTACTATTACGGCTTTGGCAGTATATCGGTAACACAGCATACCGCTATATTTCCTTTTCAACAAACTGTATCCTGGAATATTTCAAAATACTGGAATAGTGTTGGTTTTTAAAACCAAAATGCCGTGCCATAGTGTACTGTCTGGATGGTACAAAGAATCAGATATCACCCAAGCCTCCTCCAGTATTTGAGTTTCAGTATATATGACTCAAACCACCGTTCTTAATTCGAAAATAGTTTGTCGCTAAGACCCTAAGCCAGTCCTTAGTTAGAAATCGCTGCTAAGTCCAAAGGCCAATCTTCCTATTCAAACATGCCAACCAGATGTGTAGGAACCACGGTACAAGCGGTTACATGCACTCCAAGCTTTGCATTATAAGTCTTCAAACACAGGCTGCGGAGACAAAGTTATGTAAATATTCAGCCATTGTTTTTCAGGTTTATGTAACTCCTGGTATTCAGCTGCATTATGGGTAAAACTCTGCTTATTCACCGTGTATCAATTTATTAAAACCAGACTGGCGTACCATCATGTTTAGCCATGTTAAACATGACCATAAAGTATGACTGAATTACAATTGCATTACATCAGTAAATCATTTTGGTATTTAATCACTGAGTACAGGTCCTGCTTCTCAGCCTGAAGCATTGTTGTTGTCTAAGTGATTAGTAGCATTGTCTATGCGTTTATAGTTTCCGTTAAGTTACAGTAGTTAGGATTTATGGCTATAATTGCACATTGAGTTACTACTGTGATTCACCTTGCTGGCACTACAGGAGCGGTTATGGAAAATTAATAAACTCCCTTCATATTTGAGAATTTGACAAAAAAAAGTGCATTATGTGTTATTAAACGCACAGCTGCACAGATGAAGAGCCCCCAGCACGAAGCGGTAGGGGGAGGGGTTACCTCTGTGGAGTTCCTATTGGGGAATCATTACATCAGAGCTCAAAATTATGTCATTTCAATAAAGCTATTTAATATATATCAAGATCATACAGATGATACTGATTTGAATACAGAAATCTTTTAAAATCCTGTAACAGCCATATAGTTCTTTTAACCCTGTTTTTCACATGTAGTGTAAATTCTTTTGCTGCACTGGCAGGGGCAAACGGTACATCGAGCTTCCATACACCGTGAAGGGGATGGACGTGTCATTCTCAGGGATCCTGTCCTACATTGAGGTGAGCCACAAAGGGAAGGGGCAGGGATGGGCCATCTGGAGGACAGCAGCATGTGCACTCTGCTCCTGCCGGGTGGAGGACTTAACAGTGGTCATGTGACCACTTTGTGATTTTTAAAGCAGACAATATCTGTCCTAATAGCCAGCATGATTCCCTGAATACTCCCATCAGCCACATGGTGGCAGCATAACCGTGGATTGGGTCACTTACATTCATCCTTGCAGGAGGCAGCTGAGAAGATGTTGGGTTCTGGAGAGTGCGCGGCGGAGGACCTGTGCTTCTCTCTTCAGGTGAGCGAATCCTTCACTTCTCACCATCCCTCCTTCACGCATGTGTAAGGTCAAACGTACATACATACACACACGCGCAGCAGTGAAACAGTGCAGAGTAATAAGATGTTTAAAGTAAAAGCAAGCCTTATTTAATTGTATAACTGATATGTCACACAGATCAGCTTTATCTATGTGACAATAACAGCTGCTGTAATGAGCGCAGGCAGACTGAATGCTCACATCTCGGCACGCTTTGCAGGAGACCCTTTTCGCCATGTTGGTGGAGATCACAGAGCGAGCCATGGCTCACTGCGGCTCGCAGGAAGTCCTCATCGTCGGTGGCGTGGGCTGTGAGTGATCCTGTGTGACACATCTAAAGGGGCTACACAGATGGAGGCAGTGGGGAAGTACCTTAGCTTAAGAGACTGCTTAGGATTCCGTTCACTGGGACTAGATATTTATTTTGGACTTCTGGAAGCAATCACTAGACACAGGAGCAATTCTGTTTCTAGGTACAGTGAGCTATAGTCCTGCTGTTCTATGTGACTGTTGTTCATGTATTACTGATCATATGTTACTGCTCATATTGTTCATGGGTTAATGAACTTGTGTTCATAAATGCACCATGAGTATGCTTGATGGGAAAGACTAGTATTTGTTGTTCCTGGTAGTGGGTTGGGGAGCTTGTCCTGGTGGTTCCCACTACAGCCTCCCATTTCCAGGTGTAGGGGCCTGAATCAGGCCCCAGCTCTGTCTGTGTGGATAAGTGCTGATAAAGCGATGGATTGCTGTCTCAGCTTTCTATGCAACAATTTAGGCATCCATTTCCTAGCCAGAGATACTTCAGAAATTGTCCATTTTGCAGAAACAAAAGAAATTCCACTTTAATCCTGGTAATCATTTTAATGTGGAAAAAAGAGACGCATCCACCTTTCTTTATAATAACTAACACACATAATGTTATAACAACTATTCTAATGTGTCGTAGTGTATGAAAAAGCTGCAGTAGTCTAATGTCTAGCATTTGTAAGTTTAATAAAAGAAGCAGAGGGCAGTAGTATTTAAGTAACTCATGTCAGCATTTTGAACATTATGATATACTGTGCATCTTTTATAAACTTATAGGAACAGCAAGTTAGTTAGTCTTTCTTGTTATTTTTTTGAGGCAACCTGCGTCTACAGGAGATGATGGGCATTATGTGTGAAGAGAGGGGTGCCCGGCTATTTGCTACAGATGAGAGGTGAATATATTTTGGCTCTTACATAAACATGGCTAAAAATAGGATATTCATGATGTTTTGCTCTGGAGTAACCCCAAGATGTCCATAGCCCTGTCTGAATGATTAGGTTAGAAAGAATTAAATTGAATTGAATTTAAAATAGAAAAATAGCTATGACTTTTCATTTATTTTTAATGTCAGGTTCTGTAATGATGTAATGTTTCTCTGACTCTTTACTGAGTATGTAAATATCAACTTTTTTAATACCCAGGTTCTGCATTGATAATGGGGCAATGATTGCACAGGCTGGATGGGAAATGTTCCGATCAGGTCAGCAGACTGAGCTGTCGGACTCCTGGGTGACTCAAAGGTAACTCCACCGCTCAGGGGATCCCAGTGTTGAGTTTCTATCTCAGGGGTGGGCAGTCTAATTTGTAAAGGGCCGGTGTGTATGCTGGTTTTGGGGATAACCTTTAACTCAGCTGTTCAAACCCAGGTTTGAGGACTCTTCAGCCAATCAGTTCTCTAATTAGTAATCTAATTAGGGAAATGCAGAAAAAACCTGCATACACAATGGTCCTTTCTGGATACGACTGGCCACCTCTTTTCGATGTGCATATTTGCATTGCTTTGACACGTCGCTTTCTCATCTTCATGCACTCCACAATTGGTGGATTATGTACACGCCCCCCCACACAACCATTGGTGAAATTGCTTCTCAATCATTACCTGCAAACACGTATGTCGGAGGTACCACCATACTGCAAAATCAGAGACAGAGCAACAACATACATGGTAACAGCCATAAAACATGCCAAAAACCAACTGTAAATTCGAAGATGAAGATGAAATAAGATATGTTAGGATGTTAAGGTATACTTACATGCTACCTATGAATGTTCTAGGAATGCATTATAACTGCATTATAAAGGTGCAATTAATCTAAAGCATTACCTACAGCTCTATATATAGGTGTCATAATGTTTTAATAAACATGTTAATCTAACCAGTGTGACATTTTACTCATTAATATGCAGTCATTCTTATCAGCATAATTTTCCTTGATTTCCAAAATGCAAACGCTTGTCTGTTGATGGTTTCTATGGTAACCTAATGGACTTCCAGTGACTAGCCTGACCAGACATTCTATCCTTTTAGGGACTATATTTTTTAAGGGCACACTGGAACATTATTAAATGCTAATTCAAATTAATTTTCTGCTGAAAAATGAACCGCGAGTAGTTTACTCTATTTTTCTTTTTTGTTTCGTTGTATAAGCGAGAGAAACCGCTTTGAGGTGTGCGATTTTTACGAAAACAATCAGTGCCAGATTGGTGTAATGCCAATCATCATGGTTTATCTTACAAAGTCAATTCCATTTACAGTCATTTTTTTTCTACTTTTTCATAGTGGCTATCAGGTTAGTAAAGTAATGTGAATATTTTTCTTTGCAGGGTAGAAGTTTTTAACTGAATAAGGCTTTTGAAATTACTTTTTTCTTAGGTTTACTGTTTTGGATCACCACATGAGAAGTAAATTATTTCACGTCAGGTTGATCCTTGCATGTATGATGTATGATATTTTTCTGAGGTATTTGCTGCTGCTCCTGCTGCGATTTCAGACACTCTTCTGAAGCTTTGACACAACCCCTGACCTACAGACACGCAGCCTTGCACATTGATTTTATGATGATTTCATGCGCTGCCTGTCTTCCTGTGATCCACAGGTACAGGACAGACGAGGTGGAGGTCACCTGGAGAGATTAGTGCTGAATGCTCACAGAGATCTGCTCTTTGCAGCCACCACAAGTCTATCCAGGCTGTGAAGGATGTAGACGTGACTCAGAATGAACTGCAAGATGCTTGTATGGATGTGTGAACATAGATATCTGTATTTAGATATGTGTACATATATAACAAAGTGGCAGTAATAAACTGAATTAATTTTTTCCTTTTTATTTTTCTCTCCACAAAATCGTTTATATTCATTATACTTTTACGGGAAAAACGGATTTATTCCTGTAGCTTTAAAAACTTAACGTCATTCTGACGTTCTCTGACGATTTTTATTTATAGAATACAGTATGTACGTGAAAGGTATCTTGACTTCTCAATAGTCTTTTACAGACCTGTTGTGTCCATTTCTGATGAGCGACAGGGTGGTAATGCAGCAGGAAACTTGGTTAAGGACAGGGGTGTAGCTTTTTCATTTTTGGGGAGGGGCCTTGCTTATGTATTTACAGGGGTTAGACAATGGAACTGAAGCGGGTAGTATCAGAAAAATATACAACCACAGCTGCTCAGCTCACTGCAGAATTAAGTACGCACCTCAACTCTCCTGTTTCCACCAAAACTGTTTGTTGGGAGCTGCACAGGCTCACTGTTCATGGTCGGGCTGCTATAGCCAAACCTTTGGTCACTCATGCCAATGCCAAAGGTTAGTTTCAATGGTACCAGTAGCATTTGACGAATAGCATCCTAACATAAGTGGTAGGGCACTGCAGATGAGTCAGGGCTGTGTGAAGTACTATTGAGACGGCATCCTCTATAGATCTGTTCTTCCTGTAGGCAAACTGAGAAGTGCGATTTGTCACTCCATTTCCACTGCTCCAGTGGCGGCGTGCTTAAACCACTCCATCTGATGCTTGGCTTTGCACTTGGTGATACGAGGCTTGCATGCAGCTGTTTGGCTATGGAAGCCCATTCCGTGAAGCTCCCAGTGCACAGTTTTTGTGCTGGGATTAATGGGAAGTTTAGAACTCTGTAGTTACTGAGTCAACACACCTCAGCACTCAGCGAACACGCTCTGTTACTTAACGTGGTCTGTCACTTCATGGCTGAGTTTCAATTGTTCCTAAATGCTTCCACTTTGCAATAATACCACTTACAGTTGACCATGGCTTATCTAGTAGGGAAGGAATTTCACAAAATGACAGCACCATGCTTGAATTCACTGAGCACTTCGGAACGATCCATTCTTTAACAAATGTTTGTAAACTTGAGTGCTAGGTGCTGAGGCTAGGTGCTTGATTTTATACACCTGTGACAATGGATCTGAATGAAACACCTGAACAATTTGGGTCACGGCACTTGCTCAAGGGCCTACCAGTGAAACCACTCTGCCCACCACAGGATTTGAACCAGTGACCTTCCAGTCACAGGCACAGAGCATTTACCTCTCAGTGTCACACATTAACCCACTTCATAGATTAATAACCTTAAAATGTTAAGGAGTAGAATACTTTTTCTACAGGAGGAACTTAAAATAGAGCCTACGTAAGCCCTAAGTGCACTTTACCTTCTGTCTTTTATCTCCTTTGTCTGGCTGCAAAAAGCCCTAGGATAGATGATTGGTTCCATTCCTCCTTGGCTAAGCAACACTAGAGGGCAGGTGCTCTTTGAATTGGATGACCCTTGTTTTGAACCCTAATTATAGCAGTTGGCTGTTTGTGTACCTTTCATCCCTCCTTGCTTTCATCTCTACTTGGCTTTAAGGAGCATTTCCTACCTCTTAATGGTGAATGAGGATGACACACATAAGTACTGTATTTTCGTTTTCACAGCAACACACGCTTATCATGAGAAGACAGAGCAACAGTTCTTCTAACCTGGCCAGCTGCTTCTTTCAATGAACATGACAATTATGTAGGAATAAAGCTGTTAGATATTCATAAAGTATTGCTATATTGATTGATGTATTAATTTGGACATATATGGGATTCATTGCTGTGGCATGGATCCCCATTTGGGGATAATGATGTTTGGTAATCTGCTAAGGACAGTTTCTTAAGTCATTGTCTGAGGTAATGCATGCATTGAGGGAGCCCAACTGAGCTGGAGGCAGTGATGGATAAAATGGTGAATGTGACGGGATGTCAGCAGTTGGTACATGAGTATTGCAAAGTATGGTTATAATGGTATATATAGCCATTATCTGTATGATGGAGGTAGTGAGGGTTTGGTTGGTGGAGTCATGGTGGCTTGGTGGTCCTGTCAGCGTTAAGTGGTGACCAAAGTATACAGTACCAGTCAGAAGTTTTACCAGTTAATTTGTACAATTCTCTACATTTTAAAATAAAGACATCAAAACCATATAATAACATATATGGAATTATGCAGTGACAAAAAAGTATTAAACAAAAAATTGATTTGTTGGTTGGTTGAGACCCAGAAGATATCTGGTTCAAATCCCATGGTCAGAGCAAGGCCCTTAACCCCAATTGCTCCAGGGACTGGCTGACCCTACTGTCTCCCCTATGACAGGTTCATAAGGTGACCTGGATGCATTTCCAGCTGTCCTGAAGGAGGTCAGGTCATGTGATGTATGCGGATTTGTAGGCGGCTTGGTGTGTCCAAACTTTTGAGTGGTATGGATCGTATATGCCAGTATTCTGACCCAAATACATTTGCCAAATCAGTTCATCTGGTCTATAAGCATCAGTACTCTGGAGGCAAAGACCCTTTTTGCTGCCCTATATCTGAGAGCAGGCCCACTGTGGATAATTCCCACGCTCAAAATTATTTCAGCCCAGACCACATGATGCAAAACCCCTCCCACCTGGGCCCTCTCCGCAACATATCAATAAAAGTATTAATGGCTGAACTTTAATGGCCTAGAACAAGGTGACAAAGTGATGCTTGTGTGCTGGATTGATATGCATGACGTAGGAGGCTGATAAGGAAATGCATAGTGTTAAGGGACGTGGAATAGCAGACAAGTTCCAGTCTCAGAAGAAACCTGGCTCTAGTGCTCTTGAAAGTATTTATTTATCAAAGAATTTATCTTGGATTGCTCTAGTGAAATATCCAGCTGTATATAATAGGAAAAATTATAGGCTCTTTGTGTAACAGCATTGGTTCAACAATGAAATTAATGCAAGGTTAAGGGTGCTTAACAATGACGATTGATGAGAAGAAAGCAGGGAAGCAGTCATAATTTCCACTAATATTTGCATTATATGTATTACTGTCTGTGTAAGGATCACCATTCATCTTCCATAACCACTTTTTTCAGCCTGGGGTCACGGTGTGCCTGGGCTTATCGCTGGAGGCACAGGGTAGGATACACTCAGAACTGGATGCCAGTCCATCTCATGTCACACATTAATTTTAGAGACATTTATTCACCTCAACGTGTTCTTGGGCTGCTGGAGGACACCACCTCAAATATGCAGATCAGAGGGAGACAGAAAAGCCCCAACCCCAGGGGTGTGAGGCCATATTGATCCCTCCTGATCACAAAAATAGAGAATTAAGAAATCTTGCTACAATTTTAATGATTACAGGAAATACAGAAGCATGTAAGAAGAGCTTTTTTTTGGCAGACTGAGCTGTAACGGTTTGCACTCTATGTTTTGTTTTTCTGAGTTGCTTCAGAATCAGGATTCAAATCAGTCTAGTATTTAGGATTCATTAGGATCTAATGCTCAAATTAATCTAAACATTACTTGAGTTCCTAAAAAGTTCAGCAAGGTCTTGTGTCTGAGTTTATCAAAACACCTGTGAGTTCTCATTATATTTAGCAAATGAATGTTTATTTTACTGGAGAGCTCGGCACTTGTATTACACAGATACTTAGTCAGTGCCGTATAAGTCCATTTTTCTGTAATGGAGTCAAGTACCAGTAGCTTGTGTTCCCGAAAGGTCATTGTTCATTTACAGCCAAAAGAATTTCCAAAGTGAGTGGTATATCCCTCCATTTTGGCCAGTCACTTATCCAGTCAGGGCGAATATTAATGGCACAGACACTTTCTAAGGAAGCATAGTTTGTGAGGTAGGGAGTCAATATACTTAGAATAAAGTATTAATTGAAACAATATTTTTGGATTGCAGAAGGCAACAGGAATATAAGTATACATTAGCATAGAAAGCAACACATAACTAAAAATGTAGCTCTGCACCTTGCTAAGACAACAATCTCTAAAGAATGTATAAATAATATAGTTTTTATTTGATATAAATTAAAACCAGTTTTGGGAAGGTTACTTTTGAAATGTAATAGGTAACAGATGACAAGTTACCCTGTTAAGAATAAAATAAGTAATGTGACTATTTTTGATTACTTCATCAAAGTAACATACCTTATTTCATTTTATTACTTTTTGATTACATTTCAAACAAATGTTGCAAATTGGCCAATAAAGCTGAAAAGTCAAATCTGTCCAAACAGCTTTGCTGACCCACATTGTCTGGAAATATGCCAAAAGAGGACATGTATGATGAAAAGATGCAAAGCAACAAAATTAATGTTATATTCTATACATAAGCTTTTTACCGAAAAGAATCAATTCAGATGTAACCCCTTTGTAATCACCAGTATTTTTATTAGTAACTAATCACATATTTTTTCTCAGTAGCTGTAACAGATTACAATTATATAAATTTTATTTAATTATGTAAGGGTAATACATGTAACTAGTTACTCCCCAACATCGATTAAAACCTAGTGCTGAGCAGACATGCCAGTTTTACAAAAATCTCCAAAATAACAATTTCGAAGCAGCAAATGAAATCAGGAACCATGCCTTTTGTATACGAGTACAAATACTGTTTCATTATTTTGCTTTATTTGTTTGTTTGTTTCCACACGTATAAGTTGAGTGTTCCCTTAATCTATATTTCCCAAGATTCCTTTTTTACTGTGTCAATGGGAAAATAAAGTAGATTTTCCATATTAGCCAAAAGGCTGAGGAACGCTAGTGGATCAAAGGTCTCGTTGTACTATCAGTGGTTTCTGATCTGCATGATTCAAACTGAACTGCCTGTCATGCTCAGAGACAATGCAGACACTTAGTTATTGTCCTTCTTCCCTCCATTTTCGTGTGAAGCAAGACGCCGAAAAGCATGGAAAGCAATTCTAGTGCATTTAGGTCAGGTATAAAAGAGGTCAAAGAACAAAGATCTTTATCATGTTAATGGTGCACTCACTGGACCGTAATTGTCTCCCACATTTGCATCTTAAAGCAGGTATACAATCTGAGACATGGAGAGGGCAGAGCATGGAGAGACTGAAGGGGCAAGCTCACAGAGGGACAGGTGCTACAGGCAAGACCAGGGTGACAAAGACTGGGGAAAACATTCGCTTCTCTTGCACATGGCTGTGTACAATTATAACAAGCGATGCCCAATTTTTGGTTACTCAGTGCAGGACAACATTGCATTACTGGATTAGGGTTGCAATGGTCATGATGTCACTCAAACGATATTCTGCACAATTATGCAGAAAATTGATTCTGTTCAGGGGCTTAGTCAGAAGACTGAAGCACAGCATCTCCTTAAGTTTGGCTATATTCTATACTATACTACTGTTCTGTCAACATTTAAAATCACGTGACCCAGCAAGCTAAAGAATAAGGCATCGGCTTTTCTGGGGATTGTCAAGTTAGAGGTGATTCTAGAATTTCACCCCTGAAGAAATAGGAACCCCCCCCCCAATAAAGTTACTGAAGAGGGGGATACAAAATATATATGATAATATGGAGGAAATCATTAAATGGTTTTAAACAAAGAATAGGGTGTCGAAGCCCCACCAAAATAGGGTCTAGAGCTGCCTATGGGTTGAGTCGTCTCTAGGTTTTATGTGGGATGGTATGTGGCTTTGTGGATTAGGACTTTGTGCCCATGTTCAGTAGGTCGCAGTTTCAAACCCTGTGGCCAGCAGAGTGATTTCACTGTTAGTCCCTTAAGCGAGTCCCATAACCCTCAATTGCTCCAGGGACTGCCTGATCCTGTTTTCTCAACTGTACATGGCTCTTAATAAAAGCATCTGCTAAAATAAATAAACAGATGTAAATCCAAAGATAAGTCTGAATCAACTATTAGATCAAGGTGTCCACCCGATCATTTCATATTCAGATCTGGACCCTATCTCAAAGGCTACAGGCACAAGGCAGGGAACAACCAAGGATGGGCAATTTCAATTCCTCCATTTTCTGTAACTTGTCCTCTTCAGGGTTGTGGGGGGTCTGGAGCCTATGGGCACATAGCAGGGAGTTACCCCAGATGGGGCACAAACCCCTTACAGGAAGCCGGGCAATTTAGTAACATCAATTAATCTCAGTTTTTTTTTGTACTGTGGGAGTGAAACCAGAGTATCAGGATGAAACCCATGATGACACAAAGAGAACAGGTAAACTACACACTGGAAGCCATGGCAGAGACTCAAACCCCAGTCCTAGAGGTGTGAGGCAATAGCACTAACCACTGTGCCACCATGCCACCCCCAAGATCAAAATGTTTAACAGTAAAATCATCAAGTTTCATCAGCAAGCACAGCCCTAGATGCCTTAGGCCAAGTAAACAATACTACTATTCTTAGTAAAAGGAAGCAAATGGTTATGCAGCTTCTCACATCTAATAAACAGGGATACTATATTTGGTCAGACGAAAAACAGGACATGTCCAGGGAGTTTTCATGTTCACCAATCAGGTTTATCGAACTTCAAGCAAACGATGCAATTCACTGTTCACACGAAAACAAGAATAATTCCAAAATGCCAATGGTTTGCAGAAGATCACTCATGAGCAGCATGACATATAGGGATGTGCATATCGTTATTTTTTTTTAAGTGAACGTGTGCATGAGCCTTGCAAATGCTGTGTGATGATACTGAAGGGTTGTCGTATGTTGAAAATTGTTGCATTTTCATTCATTTGATACTCCACTGTAACTTGCAACATTAGGTTATACGGGTTGCGCCACTAAACCACAGATTTTTGAAAAACTGGACTGGAGCCCAAAACCAAGACGTGTCCGGAGAAACCCAGATGTATGGTGACCCAACTAATAAACAGTCTTCAGTCTTTGACAACTGTGACAGCTCACCTGCTTTGAGTGATATGTGTAGCAACACCATTACCAAGTGGCACTACATACAAAATAAACAACACTAGCTCTAATCCTTGTGGGACACAGTACTTCATGGTGAATTCAGTGAAATGGCTGTTCACTTGAACAAATTGGTACCCTAACTATGCAGGATAAGTTACTCTTCTTATGAAATACATATTAAATATCGTGACCTAACAGTTACCAAAATAACCATCAATTTTGAAAATAAAATGCAATCCATCCAGATCTACACAACTGTGGTAAGCCTATATTACTTATTCTGTGGGAAATGCATTGTTTGTGACTGCATATGCTAATTTGACATATATTCATAAATTCAAGAAAACGTTTTTTTTACAGTCTATATGAAACTGAAGGCGACATTATATAGGCCTAAACCAGTATAAACGATTAAAGAGTTATTTTATACGAAGGTTGTACAGTTTGTCATACAGCCTAAGCCAGGGGTCACCAACGTGGTGCCCATCTGCACCAGGATGCCCTCAAGGAGTCGCCCGCGGACCTGTTCTAAAAATAGCACAACTCACCAGTAAGCAGCCTCTAAAATTTTATTTTATGCTGTTGCTATTCTTCTTTAATCACATATAGATTTGAAAATGACAATAACTAAAAAAAAAAGCATTTAAAGCATCCATCCATCCATCCATCATCGTTTAGAAGAGTGTATCAAACTGGTAGCCCTTCCTATGGCTCAGTACCCGTGAAGTAGCTCTCAGTTTGAAAAAGGTTGGTGAGCCCTGGCCTAAACACTTTGTTTCAATATTTGCATGTTAATTTATTTCTTCCTATTAGAACAGGTGGTATAGTAGACGCGCTCTCCAAGGTACTAAGAACAGACTGGCTTCGGTCGCTATTTGCTGTTGCTCTTAATAAAGACATTTTACCATCAAGAATAAATATTTTATGTATATATTTTAAATAATTTTAACAGTGACACAGCATTTACCATTTTTTAAGAGAGACTGGCTTGATTCTGCTGGCTGGAGCAAAAGGAAACATAGTTCTTGCCATTGTAATGAAAGGTTGTTTTTTTACCTAATGTACTGCAATACACTTACATAATGTTACTGCTGACATTCAGAAAATACTAAATTCCAACTTTTTTCTCTTTTTCTCAGTTTCAGCTGCAGAATATGATCACGTATAGTGCAAACATCAAACTGCAGCTCGAATATGTTATCAGGTGTGAAACACAATAAAGGGAACAAACTAAAACGAGATTAAAGAAAATCCGGGAAGATTTAAAGCGGGTATTTAATAAGTATGTTTGGGGATCCACCATAATTTTTTTTTACTGCTCGTGGTATTCAAATAGTGGTGATGTGAATAAACATGATGTAGCGCCAGTGAGATGGCTCCGTTTAGTGGAGTATATTAGCATATCCCGGCATGCTCGCGAAAGTTGTGAATAGCTACCGTGTCGTGTGTTATTATAAATACTTGTGATGTACCTGATTGTCGTGTGTGCACTTGCATTTGTCCTGAGTGAATCCTGTCCGATCCTCGCGTGTATTTAGCTATTGTGTAAACTGCCCATCGTGTGTGTGTTTACCGTCCTGCGTCAGACCACCTTGCGTTACGTTACTGTGGGTTAGTTATGGGTTTTTGTGTATTATGCAGAAAGGTGCTAATAAATAGGGTTCCTGCTTAACCGGAAACGTCATGTCTGCCTTTGACTGTAATGCCACTGGTCTATGCATTAAAGCCAAATGAATAATCTATAGGTCCCAAAATTTCCACTTGCTGTGTTGTAATAAACAAGAGTAATGACCGTGTTATTCGTAATTCACATTACATTGCTACTAAAACTAATGTTATTTCATTTTAATATCAATAAAAATAAAGCCAATAGTACTCTTGACTGATGACTAGTGCATTTACGTTATGTGAAGTTATGAATGCCAAAATGTGAACACGAAAGGCATGCAAGTAACGGCAGTTTTTTTTTTTCGTCTCGTTTGGGAGGAGGCTGTGGGAAGATTGTGGGGGGAAAATCCGCTTACTTATTAGAGCAGACTGCGTCTACATAAACCTATACATCTCACTGCACTTCGAGAGTTTTTTAAGCTTTAGATACTAGACCATAAGACGTCCTAATACTTTCACGCAGTTAAGCTCGCATGGAGAATTTTTCTGTAACGAAAGAATATTGCATTCAGACCCGGGGCTGCATAAAAGTCTTTTAATACTACTACTTCTTATCTACTACTTCTCTTCTTAAGGTGAGTGTTGCATTAAAGTCGATGTAGTTATTGTAGTAAAGTTATTGTAGATGCTGAACTTAAGCATCGTAAGTTATGGTCACATGCTGGAGGATGGGGGGAAACTGTCTATAACTATGCCTGAATTTAGAGACTGAAAGAACTTCGATAGGTTTGTATATTTGGACACAAAAACCTAGAAGAATCCAGTTTCACTGAGATTTCTGCTTAGAGTGAAACCCTGTGTTGTGCTACGGGAACGTGAGCGGAAGCTGAAGCCTGAAATACATTAAGTGAAGCATTTAAAAACAAGACTATATATGTTTGTTGCTAAAATGCTTTGTGAATAATGCAATGTATGTATTACATTCTGGACACTAATCAGTTTTACTGGTGTTGGATTACATGTTAGGACAGCATCTAATTTTTAAAAGAGAGCACTGGACTTTATTATTTGTACAATTTAAATAGAAATTACACTACCCGTTATATTTAATTCCTACCGAATGTTTTTAAACCTGTGTTTCTGTATGCAAAATAGTTTTATCTTATCTCATCCAATCCAGTGTAGAAAAATTTATGTTATAACGAACACCTGCTATTCCTATCAGAGATACTCTGAAATTGAAAAATTAAGTTCGTTTTTTTTTTTTAATTTTAATTCTGCATTTTATGACACATACTCGATTGGCATGGAGGGAAAATAAATTTGAGAGAGCATAAGGTATGCTTGGAATTTATTGCTAGTTTATTTCTGACCTTCTCAGCTTCCAGGACAGGAGAAAGGGCCGGCTTCACAGACATCTGCCCCAGTGACAGGTTTACTCTTCCAGATCAAATGAGTGCACCAAGGCTCCAGATTATTGCATGGCTGATTGTCAGGTTAATAAAGCTACCACATCAGACCGTAAAACGGATCCATTGTAATCTGAGGATCCATATACGGATCCTCAGAGGGCACTGCTCTGTGAAATGTCTACATATACCTTATAGTTGTGTGTTAGGATCTCAGGTGTTTATGATACAGTGTTACTAACTGTAATCGTTTGAATTTCACTTGGTGCATGGCTTAAGTGTTTTTGCAACCATTGAAATAAAGGTGCTAGATAAAAAGCTGATTCAATTGAATAGAATACAGGGCTATTGCGAACACTGGACTGTCTCTGTGAGGTAATATCTGAACGTCTTCAGGAAAATACAATTATGCGGAAGGTTTCAAATGTTAGAAAATTCTCATTTTAAAGTGTAGAACAAGATGATGCAATTCATCAAATTTGCAGATATTTGCCAAGAGAAATAGACACTGATTTCAGCTCCACCGCTTGAATAAGTTGAGTAACTGCCTGAAGGAAATAAAAAACATTTGGGACAGTGTCCAGACTATTTCACAAGAAGGAAGGTTCAGAAGGACACAGCCTTGGCAGCCCAGTAAAGATGTTAAAAACATTGTGTGGAAAGAAGAGCACTATTAATGTAGAGAAGAGCAGTGTCTCTGTGTAAATGTTTGTCAGTGTGTAAGGGGGGTGGGCTTCCCCTGCTAGCTGTCATCTCTGAGTGATGTGACTGAGTCTCATCTCAGGCATGCCTCCTATCACTTATATCCAGAAATGTTGCAGGAACTCAAATGTAGGAGACAAGAAAGTTGCCAGAGGCTTGTATGGAGCTACAGTATCTATGGCATTTATGGTATTTTTTCTGGGCACAGGAATTAGTGGCATTATGTGGAACTCTCAGGAGTCAATACGATACAAGGGATTAGGGCCAGATGGATGGATGGATACTGTAACGTACTGAACAAGTGGGTCATGGAGCCCTCACTGGACACAAGCTGAGGAAGAGCAAGCTTCTTTATACTAACTGCATAAAGGAGATCTTCGGTAAATTAATTGGATCCAGCAGACATTAGGTCTAAATAAGGGGGGCATATGACCCAGCTAACTTTAGAGTTGAGGAGAACCAGAGGCGCAGAATTTTAAGGTCTGGTGTCTCTGTGGCGTCAGCCAGACTGGAACAGCCTACATCGTACACGTATCGATTTTTTCTGAAAAGTGGCTGATGATTAATCTTTACATTCAGGTCCAGCCCGAGCTGCTGTGCATGTTCCACAGTCATGGGCATGTCCTAGAGAGGCTTTGTTTTTGTGATGCTGTGGTGGGGGAGACTGGGAGGCCTGGAGAGGAAGTGCATGATGGGACTGTGGTCAAGCCTTGACTTATTTGTCTGTGTGAGTATTTGTGAATGTCCCTGTCCAGGCAGGGAAATGGGGAAAGCTGAGGCAGCAGCATGCTAGGAGAAAGAACATTGTGGATGTTCCAGAATATTGGGGAAAAACAGGAAATTGCTGTCAGCGTCAGCAAAAACACTGAACAGTTACCAGTATCAGTATCAGAATTGGACCGTGTGTAAGAAGAGAGAAAACAAGAGTGTCTGACCTGGACATTGGTGGATTTGGTGACCCAGGAGTCAATAGGTGGCTCCTGGTTTTCTGTTGCATACTTATAGAAACACTTATAATTCACTTAATGAATAAAGGACTGAAGTAACTTGCGATGCGAACTAGAACGGAAATGATTAACATGGGTTACATAATAAATCACTCCTTATGTCCATTCATCCTTATGTCCATTTATCCTTTTTCTGAAACCATTTGTCCTGTTCCTGGTCGTGGGGGGTCTGGAGCCTATCCCAGAGGCTGTGGGTTTTAGGTAGCGAACAATACAGGACAGGGTGCATGTATTAGAGAGATGGCCAACGAGCCACCTGAGACCTCGAATACCTTTCTGACACCATGTTGCATCAGTGAATTGAAGAGTAGGACACATAACACTGAGATCCTGTGCTGTGCAGCTGGAACGTGAGCAGGAGGTGATGAACCTTCCAGATACAGACATTGCTTGAACCTTAGAAGATACCACTGTGTGTGAATTACCCAGAAAAACATATATTGACTCTAGATTATATTTTGTCAGGATCTTAAAATTTGAGGGAGGGTGCCCAATTTGTCCTGCAGTGTCCACACTTGCAGGGTGAGTGCAATGGATGTAGCATTCTGTCAAGTACAGCAGAATGATTGAAACAACAACCCTGACCTATTTAAAGTCTATGTTAGTGATGCACCAATAAGGACATTTCTGGCTGATAGCAATAGCCAATTATTTAATATAATAAATTACATTACAAAAATATGAAAAAGTATTCATTTTCAGGTAAGAAAACACCAACTGTGGCATACAACAACAGTTCCAGAGCACTATAATTTATAACTGTATACATCTTATATATTTATAACAGAGAAGGGCTGATCATCAAGTGCAATAAACTCCGGAATTTTCCAAGTAATATCTTAATATCTCGCACTCAGCTTTAAGGTAAAAACATATTTATTGGCCTTCATATACAGGGTCTGAGACAAAGCATCTGAACCTGGACCATCCATCCATCATGCCAGGTCTTCCGCCCACTGGCTCCTGAGACCTGCAGACAGCACTCTGCAGCAAACAAAAGGAAAGCAGAACAGGAACCTGGAAATTTGAAGTAGGGCTGAAACACAGAAACCAGGACACTTGCAGACAATCAAAGAACAAGACTCCAGTTGCACAGCTCACCAGCTGCAGAATGCTAGCTAGTCAGCACCCTGACTCCAGGAGCAGAACTCTAGCTAACAAGGCCCAGAAACTCAAGACGAGACATAGGCCAACAAAAACCATGGACCCTAAAACACGACACTGAGACCCAAAACCACACAGCCAGTCAACATGCTTGCAACTGACAAAAGCATGGGAGAAACATAGGATAGACTACACCAGGCCTCACAAATGAGCCTCTGACTTGAATACCACTCTGAGCCCTACACTTTAACAGCTGTAATGATGACTGTGCAGCAGCTACTGCTCCCTGCCCTATTTAAATATGGTTGAGATCTAATTACCACTGGGTCAGAGCAAGATCACAGAGCAGGCTCAGTTACTTTATTAATCGGCAACAGGTGTGACAGTATCACTCACAGTAGCAAAGTACTTACACTATACCTGTGCTACAGTAATAGGGGAGGGGGGCAAGGTCCGGTATGCAGATGTAGGCTTACTTTCTCCCACCCCCAGTAAAGCTCCCAGGCCCTGATGCCAAATTCTGTGCCTGATTGTCACAATATGATTCCAGTCTGTTCTGTGTACGTACAGGATACTTTATTAAGAATACCATACTAATGCTGGGTAGGTCCTCCCTTTGCTCTTAAAACAGCCTCAATTCGTCATGGCATGGATGGATTCCACAACATGTTGGAAACAATCCTTTGAGATTCTGGTCCATTCTGATATGATTTTATCGTGCATTTTTTGCAGATTTGTCAGCTGCAAATTCATGCTGTGAATCTCCCCTTCTATCACATACCAAAGGTGTTCTGTTGGATTCAGATGACTGTGATGGCCACTGAAGAACACTGAACTCATTGTCATGTTTATGAAACCAGTTTCAGAAGACTTTTGCCTTGTGTCATGGTACATTATCGTGCTGGAAGTATCCACAGAACATAGGTAAAGAGCGGCCATTAAACAATGCACATGTTTCGCACCAGTATTGAAATAGCTGTAGCATTCAAGTGATGATCAATTGGTATTAATGGGTCCAAAGCATGCTAATAAATATTTCCCACATAATTATACCACCACCAGCAGCCTGGACTGATGACACAAGGCTGGTTAGCTCTATGGATTCATGCTGTTGATGCCAAATTCTGACCTCATCTATGTGCTCGAGATAAATCGAGATTCATTACACCAGGCTTCTTTTTTTCCAGTCTTCAGCTGTCCAGTTTTAAAATTAGATAAACTAAATTAAGTTAAATAAATGAACAAGAATTTAAGTAATCAATATCTAGGACACCTTGTCGTTGTTTTGAAGAGGGAATAGCAAAAAGCTGTAAACTCAAAGAATGAAGGGGTGTTGGTGTTTCTTATACAGGGCCTGTCCTGTGGCTACTTAGCTATTTTGGAAATGTCAGTGTCTTCATGCAGTTTACCTGC